GGGACCCTCAATGACTAGCTGAGGGTTGGGGTAACCTTGGGGGTGGGGGAGCAGAAATGCTGCGCTCTCTGGACAGAGCAGCCTTGGCCTCAGAGCTCGCAAGGACTCGGCGTCTCTTTCCCCCTTTTCTCCCGCAGGAGCTGGAAGACGGCAGCTCCCGGCCCGGGCAGCTCCTCAAGCAAACCTACGACAGGTTTGACACCAACCTGCGCAGTGACGACGCGCTGCTCAAGAACTACGGGCTGCTCTCCTGCTTCAAGAAGGACCTGCACAAGGCGGAGACGTACCTGCGGGTCATGAAGTGTCGCCGCTTCGTGGAAAGCAGCTGTGCCTTCTAGGTGCTGGCTTCTGCCACCCCGCCCCCGGCCTGGGCAGTGCCACGCTGTGCCCACTGTCCTGTCCTAATAATAAAATAAAGTTGCATCATATATCGTCTCAATGGTGTTACTCTATTATAGGCTGGGCTGGGGGGTACGGGCCAGGGCAGGCTGGGGAGGCAGCTGCAGGGACCTGATGGGGCCTACTGGGCACCCGGGGGGCTGAACAGAACAGAACAGGCTCTTCCTGGGCTAGAATGAAACTGACACATTCACCCCTCTCTGTTCACACCAAGTCCACTCCGCAGGGCCTGGGTTCCAGCGGGCCGGGCGTGAGTGGTCAGGACCACCCCCAAAAAGCCTTGGAAGTATTCCTCCCTTCCCACCAGCACCGCAGCACCAAGCCTAGGCCCCAGGTGCGGGAAGAACTGTAAGCAGGACTGGCTATGCAGAGCAGAGGCCCAAACCCCGCAGTGAGAAGAGAGAAAACAGAATCACTATTGTGCAGAAACTGTAAGGTGAATGCACGTTAGCCCCAAGTGCACAAGTACTGAGGGTTGGACATGAAAGGCTAAATCACACCCCGCAGGCTCAGCCTCCCTGTGAGGGACACAACACGGTGCGAGGGGTAGGGAGGGGCTGTGAAACCTAGTTTTTAAATCAGATTGGCCACTAATCTACACTGGGACTACTTTAAGGACAAAAATTAACCCAATCACATTGGTCCACAAGCTGTGCATGGGCAATTAATTGCTCTAAGAGCAGTGGGTAGTGGGCCTCCCTGGTGCTGCAAGGGGTTAAATCGCTGCACCATGACGCTATCGGCAGCCACTGCAGCGTGAGTTTGATCCCCTGCCAGGGAGCTGACCCACATGGTGCAGCAGACACTCCTGTCTCTCCTGCTGCTCCCCTCAGCAGTGTATTTCAGTAGATCCACCTGTTCTGTTCTCCACTCTGTCTCTGGTGAATCCTCACACGCACACACAACCCACCCTGAACCTTTGGCCTACACCCCAGTTCTTGTATGCACAAACAAATAAAAATAAATCTTTGGGGGGTGGAAAGAAGTATTTGTTGAATGAACCTGGCAGGAAGAGAGGGTGGGGGAGGGGAGTAGGTGGTGTCAGCGCTCCTTTAAGAGGGCTGTAAGGGGAGGCTGTAACGACAGCAGTAGACTGCAGGGGGGGCCATCTCCAGAGTGCATCTGCTCCGCTCCTTCAGGCCATGGCGGGATCAACTCCATCCCCGCTGGTAGAAAATGACAAACATACTACAGCACTTTTTGCAAAGGTTTAAAAATGTTAAGACTATCTACCCTAGACTCTCTGACTTGCCAAATCTCAGCCTGCCTTTCAGCTTTTCAAATAGGCAGCCACAGCCACCTTCCTCGCAAATGAGAAACACCTGTACATTAGAATTATCCAAAGTGGATGCAGGTAGGTTCTGTTTTAAATGACTCTTGCAATATCCTCTACTCCCTGAGGTTCTGACTTAACTGGTCAGGCTTGGGATCTGGATAAGCGTAGTTTTAAACATGAGAGGTTGAGGACCGTGAGTTAAGTATCACAGAGATGTTAGGATGCTTGTCCACAGTTATTATAGTGGCAAAAAGAAGCAAAAGGAGATGAGCGGCGTGGGTAAGTTGTGGCTCTTTCAGTTTCTAATTCTAAGAGGTCGTTAAAAAGACAGTTCTAGGGCCTCCCCGGTTGTGCAGCCGCTGAGCGCTGGGTTGCGAAGCTGCCCGCAGCCTCTGCAGCATCGGTTTGATTCCCACCCGCCGGGCGAGGGTCCCACATGGCGCGCAGACCTCTCCTGCCGCCCGCTGCTCCCCTCAGCAGTGTACTTTGTCAGTCTGCCTGTTCTGCTCTCCGCTCTGACTCTGGTGAATTCTCTCACCCGCTCGCACTTCTGACTGTACCAGGTGCTTGTATAAATAAATAATTCTTTTAAAAAAAGTAATAATAATAAAAAAAGACAGTTCTATGTGATTCCTCTCCATTGAGGGACCCATAGCAGCCGGATTCATAGAGACAGAAAGTGGAATGGCGGCTGCCAGGGGTTGGGGCTGGGGAATCGGGAGTTGTTTTGTTTTGTTTTTAAAGATTTATTTAATTTATACAAGCACTGGGTACAGTCAGAAGCGCGGGAGGGTGAGAGAATTCACCAGAGGCAGAGCGGGAGCAGAACAGGCAGAGTGATGAAGTACACTGCTGAGGGGAGCAGCTGTAGAGGCTGTGGGCAGTTTCGCAGCCCAGCGCTCAACTGCTGCTCCACGGGGGAGGCCCAGGAGTTTTGTTTAATGTGGACAAAGTTTCGATTTTCCCAGATGAAACCATAGTCTATAGTTTCACAGCCACAGTTTCTGGAGACTGGTTGTGCAAGTGAATTGTACTTGACAATACTGAAGTGTACCCTTAAAAATAGCTAAGAGGGTAAATTTACATTATGTTTGTTTTACCACAATTAAAACATTGCAAATATTTTCTAATTTAAAAAAATCTTCCTGAGGTTAGTGAGATTTATTCTGGGAAGAATTCAAGAGGCAGAAATCTGAAATTTCTGGAATTCTAGAAATCTGGAATCCCTAGGATAATGTCTTTCTCACACCATGTTATCTTTTAAAATCACCTTAACTTAAAATGTCCTCTTTTGAATACCTTCCATCAGCTTTCCTGAACCACAATGAGTTTTGTCCATTTATACGTATTTCAGAACCAACTGGCATTTCCCCTTTCTTAACAAGCCTGCTTCAGAGTTACAGGATCTGGGCTTCTGGGCCAAGCAAACTTGACAATTTGCCTCACAGCTTCTTTAATTCAGAAGGCCCTGACGTGGCTGAGAAACACCTTCAGTGAGCTTACCAGCTCCTCCAGATTTTGCACAAGACTCTCCCAATATTAGTGCTGAAAATCCCACGTCCCAGGAACCCTTGAGCTCAGTACAAACTTGGGACAGTTGGTCATCCTGCTGGCTGTGGTCCTCAATCTGATGAATAAAAGGAGGGGAAAAGTAGAGGAGGGAAGAGGAAAAGGAGTAGAAAAGGAGGAAGAGAGAACACAACGGAGCAGAGGAGGTGTAGACTGTGTATATGACTTTTCAAGGCGGCAGTGGTTGCCATGGATTTCTGACTCTTGCTTTAAGTTTATAATCATTATGGGTATAATTACCACCAGCATTATTAGTGTCATAATAAAACCTGATCCTTGTAAACACATGTACACAACACCACAGCAGTGTTTTCACAAGTACTGTGCCGTGTCTTTCCAACTATAATCCTGTTACAGAGAACTACTATTGCTATCCCTATAGTAAGGAAGAGTTAACTTGTGTTTCCTCAAGTCTAAGAAAGACACTAGAAAGTCATCTTGACTTTCTTAAGAGGATAAAATTTTGGGGTATTAAAGGTAGCTTCTTCCTCTGAAAACAGAGTAACTCTAGTTAAGTATGAGCTGGTTGCTTTCTAGTTCAGAAAAAGTATGATCAGAAACTTGCAGTGCATGGGGTTCTGGAAAAGAGCTGGAATGAGACCCTTTGTGCTTTGAGACCCTTTGTGCTTTAAGGAGGAGCAGCCAGGTCCCTGGTTCTGAGGATCCCTGAGGAGGGGAAGGGAACTGAAGCTCTATTTCTACATGAGGAAGACCCCAAATCTGAGCAGCCTTTCAGGAGGAATAATCCATAGAACTGGACTCTAAGAGCTGTAGTCCTAAAAACCCAGGCAAGGATTTATCCCTAGCTGGACTAAGCCAGGAGGAAGCAAACTGTCCTTCTCAGAGATTCCTGCAGCCAACCCAGGAGCAGCTCTGCAGAACCTGAGGACTGAGGGATGGTGTAAGACACTGTCAACAGTGACACCATGTGGCAGTGGGAAGCAAAAGCAGGGTGAGGCTGAGCCTCCTGGCTCTCCATGGTGGTCTACAAGTCAGAATGACCGCCATCTCCCTCCAGTTTATTTTTTATTTTTGGAGTCTCTGTGTCTCTGGGCATGGAGGTCATGACGTGGGGTTTGCAGGCCTGAGATGCAACTGATGCCAAGACACCAACATGGCTGGAGATCCCTAGATCAGACCACTCCATAATCCCTTAAACTTTTTTCCTAATGTGTTTCCCCAAGTGCTCAGTGCACATGAGACCAGTGGCTACCACATTTGGTGGAAACATTGAAGCTGAGGTCATTTGGGGGATGCTGTTTTGTGAAATCAAAAGCAGTATTTCCAGTCTCCTTCCCCCGAGTTGGGCATTCTAACAGCCTGTGCTCTGCCCGCTCCCCGCGCCCCACCCCCATAGGAGCTAAGGTGCAGTGAAGCTTTCCTGCCCACCTTCCCTCAAGACTTCAAGCTCGTGGGGGGAGGGGGGCAGGGAGTGTGTTTTCACCTTTGTTAGCGCAGGGCTTTGTATGTGTTGAAACCAGAGGGTTATACTTATTTCTAATTCATAACCCCACCCTCAGGGAAGGTCTGGCAAGAATGGGTTTCTTTCACTTTGATGTCTGATGGTATCTGAAATTTGGAAGGCTGTACACCTCTCTCTGGAGAGAGAGAAGTATGGACTGTAGGTTGAGGGTCTAACAGGTTGCTGCCCTGAGTTAATCCACCATCTGCCCTGGGCTGGCTGTTTATGCTACCAATGTAATATTCTTTTCTTAGAAATTGTACTCAAGGTGCAACCATTTGGCTCTAAGATCAACAATGACACAAAAGACATTCAGATGTCATAAAATCACTTTTATTTTCACCTTAGCTATCATTTCAGTGGCTCACACAGGACTAATTTTGGAGAAAAAAATGGGGTTTTATGAATGTCTTCTCCAAGGGTGGATATACTCTCCCAAAGAACAGAGAAGGAACCCAAATCATAAAACCACATGGTGAACATTGTCATGAGTGGATTCCTCCTGAAATTTAAAGGAAATATTTTGTAGACACGTGAAAATAAATACTTCCTTATGAGAAGGAAAAATAAATATTGGAACTCTACCCTAACAGTCTAAGTAAAAAAAAAAAAAATTAATGTGTCGAATGTGAACGCTCAGATGATTATTCTACTACAATGGATTACAAGAAGGAATTCAAAGATGGCTGGAACCCTTAACCTATGAGACAATTTCATGGAAGATCTCTACCTTCCACTTCAGGGCAGAACACCTGGCTAGGTAAGCTGCTTGTCTGACCAATGTGGAATTTCTTATGATTGTCACACTCCCCCAAGGCACACAGCAGAGTTAGTGAGTTGAAGCCTAACCAGTCGCTGACCCTTAATGCTGTTGTCAAGCTCAGCTCTGGGAGCAGGCATTCCAGACGCCCAGCTGCAGAAGCTGGGGCTGCGTAGGTGGGAATACGGTGCCGGTGCCCGTCCCTGTTCAGCACTCTGTCCCTTAGGCGTCCAGGCCCTGGACTAAGAAAGTAGCTCTCACTTAGGAGGAACCAGGTGGGGAGAGTTGCATTTCTGTGATGTATCTGGCCATCTCTTTAGTCTGATGTTTGGGGGCAGTGGGCAGTTAGTGGGGTGATGAAGCAGAGCAGGATCTTTTTTTTTTTTTCAAATCTAAGAGAGGAACAATAAAACACACAGCAAGGAGCAAGAGGCCATCTGACTAGTTGAACACTGATACGGAGATTCCTGGTAACCAAAGTGAACTTGGAAAAAAGAGCTTGTGGGTGGACTGGATACAAGGGACACGGGTGCCCGAGTTGCTTTATGGGACCTAAGAGCACAAAGGATAATGTGGCCTCACATTCTGTCTTTTCCCTTCTCCTCAACTCCCTCTTCCCTCCTTAGGAAACCCGGTGGAAGTCTCCTTCAACCAAATAGCTGTTTCTGTTTAACAGTTCTGTGCGCTGCACTCTTCTGTGTGTGGAATAGCTAACTGGCTTTGCTCCTGTCTGTTCTTCTTTTTCTGCCGACAGGGCAGTTTCCTCCTCTGTACTTTGCAGGGCCAACAGCACAAGCACAGCGTGATGGTGATTACTCCTGCTCCAAGGGCAACAATAATGATGACAAAGTTGGGGGACTTGATGCCGCCTTCATTCAGCACTGCCCCAGAATAGAAGACAGAGAATGAGGAGGGTACAGGGACAAGAGAATCAGGCCCACCCCAGCCCACCTACCCCACTTCTCAGTCTCCCCCTCTTCAGCCCACTAAATCTTTCCCCTTACCATATCTGAGTACGTAACCCCATTCCCAGGGGATTTCCCATGGGCCTGGCAGCAGGAACCCTTGAATGACGACGACAGCAATTTTTTTGCTGACAGAGCCCAGCTGGTTCGTGGCCGTGCAGCAGTAGGTCCCAGAGTGGTTCTGGGTTGCCTTCTGTGGGACTTCCAGACTAAAGATCATGCTGTTCCTGGTACACACCAAGGTTGGAGCAGGGTTTCCCTTGGCGATGCAGGCAAGCATCTCTTCAGCCCCTTCCACCCATGTTTGGTTGCCAGGGCAACTGGATTCCTCTAACCTTGGCTTGTCTGGAAAAGAGTCCCCCAGGGAACTGAGCTCAGTGGGCTGCATTCCCTCCTTGCCATCATGCTTAGCTCCTTCTCCACCCCCTAATTCAAAAGCTCCGCCAAAAGCTTTCCTTCCCCAGGGGAGGACCGTCAGGCCCCTGCTCTGAGCCACCCTCCCCACTTCCCTTCCCTGTGGGCAAGGTGGCTGCGATGCAGCATAGGACATTTTAGTGATTTTGGACTAGATGATCCGAACCCCTCAGTTACTGGTGGTCCTGAGGGGGGGGGTCTCTGCTCCCCATCTTTGCTTCTCAGTTAGTGAGGACATGGGTAGGGATGAATCCAGAGAAGATTTTTCTACTTTTCAAAATAGAAATTTTCATGTGGAAATGTCATATGCTCTTCCCATGTCCCCAGTCCTCAGCTAATGCTGCTCATCCACTGAGACACTTTCTCTTTTCTGGGCCCAGTTTCCCCTTCCGGTATCTCCCCAACTCACTTTCCTAGTGGTAAGGTAGGCTTGGAGAGCTTTAATTTTATATTCTCCTTTGATTTTTTTAATGAGAAAACTATGGCATCTTTAATAATGAAGCTGCTGATCAAGGTGCCTGGAAATGGGAGACTAATAACCCTTGTTTTGATAAGGCCAGGCCTCTACTCACATAAGACATGGAGCTGGATGGCAGTGGTTTTGATCAATTGCTGACCCTGGACCTCCAAAGAGGCCTCACAGGAGAAATTTCTGCCATCATCTTCCTCCCTGACGGTAAGTAAAAACCAGGCAGGCTCCCCAGGCACGGGGAGGTCTGGGGCTCCCTGAAGTCGAAGAGTAGGGCTAGGTGATGTTAGTACATGCCCAGAGCAGGTCACATTAATGTCTGTTCCTGCCAATGGGTATAATTCCTCTACCTCCAGGACTGGTGGGGGGAAGCCTATGAGAGAAGGAAAAAGAGATGTAAAGTTATTTCTCAAAACTGACAGCCACATGGGCCTCCCCGGTGGCGCAGCGGTTGAGCACTGGGTTGCGAAGCTGCCCGCTGCAGCGCCGGTTCGATCCCCGGCTGCTCCCCGGCCACCAGAGGAGGGTCCCACATGGCGCGCAGACCTCTCCTGCCGCCCGCTGCTCCCCTCAGCAGTGTGCTTCGGTCCTTCTGCCTGCTCTGCTCCCCGCTCTGGCTCTGGTGAATTCTCTCACCCTCCCGCGCTTCTGACTGTACCCAGTGCTTGTGTAAATCAATTAATCAATCAACCTTGTATAAATAAATAAATAAATCTTTAAAAAAAAAAAAAAAACTGACAGCCACGTCTGTGCTCTGGCTGCTTGGTGCTGTGACGTGGGCAGGCAGACAACAGGCAAAGAGCGAATACCATTACTGCTTCAGTGCTGGATGGCAGGGACAGCCAGGCAGCATAGGAATTTGAGAGCCTCTCCTGGAATAACTGCCACATGTGGACATCTGGCTACACCTCAGAGGCAAGGCCAGCAAGACGTTTCTTCATCTTCACGTCTCAAATAATTGTTCAAACCTCAAATAATTGTTCCTAGGAGTGAGTTCAAGCAGACACACCCCCTCTGTAAGTAGGATGGCTTAAGGTCACAGGGTCCGTCTACTGTCTCCCATCTGCCTCCACTTAGCAGAGAAAGATGAAGACTAATGTCCACTTGGGAGTGCACCCTGTGAAGATTAGCAGAGATATCTGCAGTTGCATCACCAGCCTTTACTGTGGCAGTTTCCAGTGGCAGAGAGCCTTCCTGGGAAAGAGCGGAGACAAGGCACTTACTGTAGACATGCACTGTCTTTCTCGTTTTCAGTTCCACTGGACCCAGAGACACACGACAAGACAGCTCCTGATCACCCATCTCCATGGCCCGGACGGTGGCATTGACCCATGCTGTGTCTCCCTTCCAGAAGAAGAAGGGGCTCAGCTCCTGGTCTCCCAGGGACATGTAGAACATTGCCTCTTTGGCTGGAAACACCCTAGCCACCTCACAGCTCACAGTTTCGGCCATTCCAACCTCCAGAAGAGGAGAGACCCAGATTTGGGGGTTCTGAGAGAATTCTGCCCAAACATGAGGAAAAGAAAAGAATGGCCATGATAAGTCATGTGTCATGTAGGACCCTACAACATAGGGAGGGAGTAGGGTTTAAAGTGTTCTCTGCTCCCCCACCACCACCAGGGTGATGGTCTACCCCAGGTAGGGGTAGACCGCAATTACCCTCAAACCCTCGTGCAACATCCTATGGGAATGTAGTCCCAAAAAGCCAAGGTTAGATGACAGAAACAAGCCTTGGGGTTCTTTCCACACCCAGTCTCTGACTCACCAAAGATGCGGAGCACCTTGGTGGCCGAGTTGCCGTGAAAGAGCCCTCCACCATGTGAACTCAAGTCCAGTTCTGCATGGCAGGAGAAATTGCACCTGTCGTCCTCCCTTTGGGCTCTGACACTGACGGTGATCTCAGCTCTTTGTGTGGCCACAGCCAAGCTCATGAAGTTCTTTCTATGCAGTTCCGAGCTACCCTGGAGAAGGGTAAGGGTGAGGTTTTCCAGGGGCGCTACAGTGGGCACATAGCACTTCAGAGTAAAGGCTTCATCCACGGCCACCCATGCCGGCTGCAGCTCCAGCATCACCTGCTCTGGTGGCTCTTTAAGACAAAAGGATGAGTTTGATGAAAGTCACTCCCTTCTCCAGAAGGAAATGTGCTAGGTGCCTGATACCCTTCAACCATCCCAACAACAGTGTCGGCTTCCTGTCACTCCAGCCCTAGAGAGGACAAGTTAGTTTTCTGGTTCTGCCTGTCCAAGGCGATTAAAGCCTCAGCCAAGAAACACGGCTATGTTTCTGAGCAGAAGTTCCAAGCTTTGATTGCTGCTGCATCTGACCTGGGGAACTCTCATCTCTTACCCGAGGTACATCAGAGACATGAGCAGCTACCGAGGAGCTCCTTAGCACCACACAAAAACTCCACCCTAATTAACCAAACTTTTACCCCAGAGCGATCACACTTGGTCTCATGGCCATATCTTTGCTAATGCTGTTTGCCCGTTTGAAAGACCCTCATTGCCCACCCCCATCACTTCAACTCCCCATCATCCTGCAGGAGTGAAGTGCAAAAGCCTCCTTTCCCATGGAGACTTCAAGCGCCCCAGCCCACAGTGACCCTCCTTTCTCCAGCCCCTACTTACTCTAAGACTTTGTGGCAAATAAATCAGCATTAATTTTTATACTTTCTGATAATTTAGTAATTAGCATTATTCACATATGCCTCCTGCATCTGAACATATTCTCAAGCACAGATGTCTGGACGCTCTTGATGGTGTTTTCATTTAAAAGCTCCCACCAAAGGGAAACAGAAGTAATTGGCTCTGGAATTCCTACAGCATTCTAGATCTCCTACAGAAATCTTTACTAAGAGCCCTGAGTCTCTCCCCTAAAAGGAGTTTCTAACTATTCCCTAAATAAGACATCACCAGGTCGCCCCAATCCCCTCTCCTCCCACCTCGCAGCCCCTCTCACCATACACGGTGATGCCAAGGCTCGTGTCCTTCTGGATCCCTGCGCAGGAGAAGAAGCACTGCAGAACGGCATTCTCTGTGACATCCTCCAGGAGGAACGCCTTCCACTGAGGCCCTCTGCCCACCTGGCTTTTCTTTAAGAAGGTCTCAATTCCACTGGGTCCTGGGGCTGGACAGGTGGTGCTGCAGTTGACCATGAGAGACTGTCCAGACTTTACCAGGGCCTGATCTGGCCAAACAGAAACCTCAAATAGCTCTTCTGTGGCCCCTGCAAAGATCAACCACACATGCCAAAGACTCTGGTGAGGACCACAAGACCCAAAAAAACATGCAGCCTATTCTTAATCTAGTTCAAGGTTAGAGACTAGGAATTCCATTCTCTAAGGCTATTCTTTTTTTGTTTGTTTTTAAAGATTTATTTATTTATTTATTTATTTATTTATTTATTTATTTATTTATTTATTTATTTATACAAGCACTGGGTACAGTCAGAAGCGCGGGAGGGTGAGAGAATTCACCAGAGCCAGAGTGGGGAGCAGAGCAGGCAGAAGGACCGAAGTACACTGCTGAGGGGAGCAGCGGGCGGCAGAAGAGGTCTGTGTGCCATGCTGGACCCTCCTCCGGTGGCTGGGGAGCAGCCGGGGGTCCAACCGGCGCTGCAGAGGCTGCGGGCAGCTTTGCAACCCAGCGCTCAACTGCTGTGCCACCGGGGAGGCCCTCTAAGGTTACTCTTTAGGAATAAAAAGGGTACAGGGGACTAGGCAAGAAAAAGCTCCTTAATGAACAAGTGAGAGCCCCGATTCTGTCACCACCCCCTCTGCTGTCTTTCTTGGAATCCTGATTTCTCCACTAGAACCACGGTGGAAATCATAGGCTGGATTACATGGGCTAAACCAGGAAACCATGCTCTTCCTAAACTTCCAGGATGAGCTGCTGAGGGCCCTCAGGGGGTTAAGCAGACCCCCCAGGAAAAAGAGCTTTGTTATATATATGTCAAAGTGGTGCTGCTCTCCAATTATGGTCTAAGGCTTGCCGGCACCAGAATCACATGGAGTGCTTGTGTAACTGCAGATCCCAGCTCCTGCAGCCTGAATGATTAGGAGTTCATAAAGGGAGCATCTGGAAGTATACAAGTAACAAAACCAGCACTCCTGGTGATCCTTGTGCACACCAAATTTTGAGAACCACTGGGTGACTCCCAGGGCGACCCACGGAACTTTTTACCTCTTCTTCTCAAAAAAGAGATCGTTCCCTTTTGCTCTGGTGCTAAGGCAAAGATGGTTTTAGATGCTTACAAGTTTAGTCTGGTGGGGAAATCTCAGGTGCAGTTAGAGAGCAATCAGGTAAATTTTAGATGCCTGACACAGGGGAAGGCACAGCCTCCCTCAGGTTCCTACTCCATGCCCACCACCCACTTCAACTCCCAAATACCAGTCCCTTCTGGGAAAACACAACTCTTGAGCAGTGTTATCCACTGAGGCTCCAATTCCTTTTTTTTTTTTTTTTTTTTTTTTAAGATTTATTTATACATACAAGCACTGGGATACAGGTCAGAAGCACAAGAATTCACAAGAGACAGAGCAGGGAGCAAAACAGGCAGAAGGACAGAAATACACTGCTGAGGGAAGCAGTGGGCGAGACAGGAGAGGTCTGCTGTGTCATGTGGGTAGCTCCCTGGCTGGCCGGGACTCAAACCCGCACTGCAGAGGCTGAGGTCAGCTTCACAGTGCTGCGCTCAAGCCGCTGCGCCACCAGGGAGACCCTCCCGTTCCTTTCTTGCAAGTTCTGGAGAACTTGCTCCTTAAAACTAATCTATGGGCCCCATCCCATTAGGAACTTACTGTAGCTTATCGTAACAGAAAGGGTGGCAACAAAGAGGTAAAAATACTTTCAAGAGCAGAAAACAGGACAGTCTTGGGGCAGCAGGGAGTCAAGCAGAGAAGGCATATATCTCAGGGAGAGTTCTCTCTCGTGGTCTATTATCCTGCCCTTTGGGTTATCCCAGCTACAAGGCAGAGACAGTTAAGGGTTCTGTGTCCTAGTGATCAACAAAATAGGAATCTCTCCCGGATGAATACTACAGCGCCATCCACTCAGGAGTTCCCCAGCTACCTGCGCCCTGGCATATACTGACTAAAGAACTTCTCAAGTAGCCTTACCTGGGCAAGGGATGAAGGCCAGCAGGGCCCACACACCCAACAGTAGCATTTCCATTCTTATGAGAAGAGCCAAAAGCTGCAGAAAAAGAAAGGAGATGGCAATGTTGGAGCAGGTGACAAAAAGAGCGACTTATGTCTCTTACTAAAGTCTCCTATCATTGAAGATATTCCAAATAATATACCCCAGACTCTGAAGGAAATTCAAAACAGGAATTTTAAGTAATAAAAGCTTTTTTAGAAAAAGGTACAAAAGTCCCAAGTAGGACGGCTTATATTCATATATTCTTTCAGCAAACAATTATTGAGCACCTAAGACATGCCAGTTGCTGGGATGTATTCCATGACATAGAAAGTCCTACAAGTTAACAGAAAAGACAATCGAAGTAAAGATAACTGTACGCTGTATAGAATGTTACTACAAAAATTAGGAGAGGGGAGTAAAGTGAGGATTAAATTAGTTGATTCGAGTGTTTAGCCAACTCCCAGCACAAGCCTTCCATAAATGTTAGTGATAATTGTGATGCTACTAATAATGATAAATAAATTAGTCTGGGAACATTTAGGAGGGAATCACTACTTCTCTGAAGGAGCTAAGAAGGTTTCTCAGAGAGGTCTTCTTTGAACTGGGTTTTCTATTATAGTGGACGTTTATTGGGATAAAATGATATGGAGAACAGGTCAGGTCAGGTTTATTTGAAAAAATTAAAGAAATTCAGTATGGGTGGAGTGTAGCTTATAGAGAAAGGAGTTGTGGGATAAAGGTAAGAAAGTTAGCAAGCAACTGAGTAGCAAGCAGGAATTCACAGAACTTTTTTTTTTTTTTTTTGTGGGACCCTCGTGGCAGCCCAGCACTCAACGGCTGCGCCACCAGGGGAGGCCCAATTCACAGAACTTTTAAGGGTGTGTGTGTGAGATAATCAGCTTTATTTTTCAAGATGATAACAGTGACAGTGGGGAGAAAAGAAAGATGAAGGAAAGATTAATGGCCACAAAATCGACTAGAAGGCTCTGCAGTGATCTAAGGGAAATACGGTGAGAGCTGGAAGGTAGTAGTGGCTGCAGAAGATGTTTAGGGGACTCTCAATCTGGCTGGAAATGGGGGCTGTAGGCTGAGTTTGCATAGTAAACACATTGGTTTTATTTAAAGTATACTACAGATCAATAAAAATAGCAGCATTCTAAATATTTTTTCACATTTTAATAAGATTTAGAAACTATCAGTTGTTCATATCAAATATTATTTTAAAAATGGCATGGGAAGAAGGACATGTTTGAAGGTACTTTTCAATTACCTGTATAATTAAAAAAAGAAATCAGTAACATTAATTTGTGCATTGTAGAATCCCAATTATCTTCTAAAGCCTTTAAGGTAAATTACACTCTTCCTAACATCTCCTTCAAGCTAGGCACTCTCTTCCGATCTATTGCTCACTTCAATGACTCTCAAACATATCTTGTCTAACACTATCTAACATTTTGTAAACATATACTATGTCCCAAGCACTGGACAGAGCACTTTAATGATCTAATAACAATCCTATGATTATCCCCACTTTTACAGATGAGAGAGAAGACAATTAAGAGCTGAAGCCAGGATTCAAACCCAGGAATCGTGACTGCTGGGGAATGCCCTGAGAACCTCACTGCTTCATTATTTCAATGAATTCAGATTATCTGTGCTTTGAAAGGGAGACTGCATCCCAGTTTCCCTAGAGCTTAACCCCAAAGCTCCTATTTTATTAATCTCTCCATAGCATGTTGTTGGTACCCTTCCCTGCAAAGCCTATCTTGCTGTGAATCTCATAGGCTATGTTGAGATCCTAGAACCTTCGTTACAAAAGATTCCCCATTAGGGCCTCCCCTGGGGGCGCAGGCGGTTGAGCGCTGCGCTGTGAAGCCGCCCGCAGCCTCTGCAGCTGGGTTGGGTACCCGCCGGCCGCGGAGGGTTCCACATGGCGCGGCAGACCTCTCCTGTCTCCCCCACTGCTCGCCTCAGCAGTGTATTTCAGTAGATCTGCCTCTTCTGTTCCCCACTCTGTCTCTGGTGAATCCTCTCACCCTCCCGCACATCTGGCCTGTACCCCGGTTCTTGTATAAAATAAATAAATCAATCTTTAAAAAAAAAAAGAGTCCCCATTTCTGATCCCTTTGAGGCAAGCGAACGGGTTTTGTTTTTACCACCAGTATATAGTCATGTCACATAAACAGGTTCACCATCCCCACAGCTCTGAGTTTTCCTGCATCTCCAGGTGATCCAGCACTGAAACATGAAATTTTCTATCGTTTGTTAGAAGAAAGCAGCATCCCTAAGGAGACACAATTTTCAAATCTTTTAAATTCCTTTTGTTTACTCTGCAGATTATATCGCAAACTAAAGGCTTAAACCGTCTGACATCTCCGGCTTGCACTCCAGCCTCTAAGGGGTGGCAGGGAGAGAGTGGCCGGCAGGTGGGGCGAGGGCAGCGAACACACCCCTGTGGGCTGCTTTGGCTTTGGCCGTGCGGTGGGCACTGCCCTTCCTGACAAAGCTGACAAGGTTTGAAAATGGATTCTCACCAGCCGTCTATACTGCAGGGTGTCTTGGGTTCCTAGACACACACAAGTCACGCTCTACAGTTTGCACTGTCCCTTCCCTCTGCCTGGAATTCCCTTCTCCCCTGAACGTTCCTTCACCCCGTTCAATGTACCCTTGAATGACTAAGACACCTTCTTTTCCACCCTTGGGGCCTGGGCACGCACCCTCCATCTACGCTACCGCTTTCTTCTTCCCTGGCAGCTCCACCTTCCAGCACATTCTGTTACTCCTTAGGCTTGTGCCTGCCTCTCCACCACCCCCGCGCCCAGCCTGCAGGCCCGGTGAGGGCAGGGGCCAAGCGCCCGGGACGGCTGGAGGCGGTCGTGGAGTAGGAGTAAAGATGTGAACGAACCAGACAAAACACCCCAAGTGTCTGCGCCAGCGGCTGTGTCCACCGCCCGAGGCGGCGCCTGAGGCCGCCCTTGCTCGACGGCGTTTCCCCTCGCCCGGCGGCCACACAAAGTGGCTCTCGCGCTCTCAACCCAAACGGCCTCCCAGGCTTTTTAAAACAGTAAAAAACGCGTGTGTGTGGTGGAGGGGAGGCCTCGACGCGCTCCTCAGGGGCTCCCACCCGCTGAAGTGCGAGGTGGCGACGGCGCCCTGAAGCCAGATCTCCATTAATTTGACAGGAAAGCCCGGAGGGGACACCGGCACAAACGTAAGCAAACCAAATGGGAGCGGTTCTCACTGAGGGCCGCTCGTCCGTCGCTGGTCGGGTCACTCCCGGGGCCTGGGCCGCGCAGACGCTCGGCAACCGCCGTCTCCTCGCGCGCAGACGTTTCGGTTGGCGCCGCCCGGCGGTGGCGCGCGAGCACTGGTTTCCTGATCTGCCTAGAAACTCGTGACGTCACGCAGAGGCTCAGCAACGCTTGGCTGAGACAAATAGGGCGGGCGGGCGCGAAAGCGGCGAGAGGAGTGAGCCGGGGTCAAAGGTGAGGAAGCCGGCGTCAAAGGTGAGGAAGCCGGCGTCGGGCCTGGCCGAGAGCCGGAGCGTCTGTGACCCAAGGTCGCGACTAGTACATATGACAAAGTGAAAACTACCCACACCTCAAGGTGTGGGTAGTGAAGCCGCAAGGCGTTGTCCTCGGTGGCCGCTGGGCCCGAGGAGCGGGCTGATCCCTGGGCTGCGCCCACCAGCCAGTCTGGCATTAGGCCTCCTCGGCTCTGGTTCGCGGAACCCCTGCCGCCTCCTGGGCAGCTGTAGGCTCTGCCGCCTGGACACTTCAGCTGTACACGAAAAGGCCTCTTTATGTCCCGCCCCGGTTTCAGTTCCACGGCCGGTAACACGCTTGGGCCAACTTGCCTCATGTCCTACCAAGCAGGGCTGCACCCTGGCTTTCCCTGCCCAGCAGCTATCAATACACCACATAAATGGGGTGAAGGAGCAAATCGTCCACCCCGGACCCCTCTCCTCAACTTCCATGTCAATTGTCCCTTGAGGGTCACTTCTCAGAATATTTGCCCTGAGCCCAAGTTGGGCCGTTCTCATGCGCAGCGGCCATCTTTGGCCTCCTCGTGTGCCCCAAGCAGTTTTTTTGGTGCAGTGAAATTTGAGGATTTGGGAGTTATTTTCAGGAGGGACATTACTTTCTGTAACTACCCTCAAAGGAGGCACTCCTGTTAGCCCCATCTTATGAATGAGGATTGCAGAACTGGGTTGTACAAGCAGGAAGTTTAGGCCTGAGAGAAGAAAGAGAAACCCAGGAAGAGAGCTGTCCTTTTCTGAAGCTGCATCTCTCTATTTTTTTAATTAAATTGGTTTGAGTGCTTTCTTTTTTTTAAGACTTATTAATTAATTAATTAATTAATACAAGAACTGGGGTACAGGCCAGATGCGTGGGAGGGTGAGAGGATTCACCAGAGACAGAGCAGGGAGCAGAACAGGCAGACTGACTAAATGCACTGCTGAGGGGAGCAGCCGGCGCAACAGGAGAGGTCTGCTCGCCATGTGGGACCCTCGCCGACCAGTCGGGATCCAACCGGCACTGCAGAGGCTGCGGACAGCTTCACAGTACTGCGCTCAACTGCCTGCGCCACCAGGGGAGGCCCGGTTTTGAGTGCTTTCTCATGGTTCCGGGGCACCTTCAATTTCCAAAGGCAAGTTATTTATAGTGGCAAAATGATTAGTATAGTCTTACCTAAAATTAGAAGAGCTGCCTGATTAAGGGTTAAAATCAGGAGTTAGAATCAAGTGAATCAACCTTGACCGCCAACCCATCAGAGTCAAGGTGAGGATAAGATCTGAGCGAAGGAGTAAACAAACACAAATCCAGGAATCCCATTAGAAGGTCACAAATCATTAAGTCCAAGAGTGCCAGAACATAAAGGAGGATTTGAGAGCCAAAGTTAACTGTTATGGTTAAGCTGGTTTTAACCTGCTCTGATGGGGTAACTCTTAATCAGTACCAAGCGGAACAGAGTTCTGGACTGGGGAAGCAGAGGTAACTTTTATCAAAGTTATTTCCTGAGCAGGCATATGTTTCTGCATTCTCCTTGTCCTTCTGGCATTCACTTTGGAGGGGAGAATGGATGGAGACCGAGTCCCAAAATAAACCACAGCACAGTATGATGAGTCCACTTACAGAAATGTAGATGGATTACTATGGAAAAACAGAAAAGAGAACAACAAATTGATGGTGACAGTTAAAGGATGGGATGGAAAATTCCAGAGGCAGTGACATTTGAGTTGACTTTGAGGAATAAATAGATGCTTGCACATAGCAGAAACCTGGGGAAGAGAATGTATTTATTTGATAAATAGGTATTAAATAATTAACTTTGTGCCAATTATGCTGTGGGGACAAAGCTGCAAATAAGACAGAACCCCAAGCTTCGAGGAAATTATATTCCAGTAATATCATTGGCAGAAGAATCACAGTATGAAATGCCTTGGCGTGTTCAGGGAAGGGCAAGTTCAGTGTGGCTTGATGGCATAGAATGCTTAGGACATTGGTAGAAAATATAGTTAGAGAGCTAGGAGAATGGAAATAGCCAATTATGCCATGTTGTGAAGTTTAGATTTAAACTCATTGGTAAGCCACTGGCTTTTTTATATATATATATAAATATTTATTTATTTATGCATACAAGAATTGTACAGGCCAGAGGCGTGGGGGGTGGGAGGATCCACCAGAGACAGAGTGGGGAACAGAACAGGCAGACTTACTGAAATACACTGCTGAGGGGAGCAGCGGGCGAGTCAGGAGAGGTCTGCTGCACCATGTGGGTAGCTCCCTGGCCAGGGATCGAACTCATGCTGCAGTGGCTGCGGATAGCTTCATAGGTTGTGTCTTAACCCCTTGCGCCACCAGGGAGGCCCATACTGGCTTTTAAACAATGTAGAGCCATGCATTACTTTCTGTCAAAGCAGTCTCATATGGTCACTCAATTATAAGCAATGAAAGTAAAATCCCTTGGTTAAAGTAGGGATTGCAGAGAGGTGGAGCAGGGGAGGAACTCCCAAATCTGCCATCACCTCACACTCAGCTTTCCAAGAAGCTAAAGGACCATAGTGGATTTAAAGCCCACTGCTGAAAGTAATGGAGGGCACACAAATCTGGGGAAATGTAGAGATATGGTCATATTTACTGTCTTGAGATAAAATTGGCAGAAAGGCATAGGATATTAGCAGAGAAACCAGGTCAGTGGACTATAGAAGAGATGCAAAGGACCTTTCCTAAGGTAGGATGGTTAAGAGGTAGAATGGATCCAAGATGTAGTGGGTAAAACCAATAGAACTCGGTTACTAGAATTGAGGGGTTGTGAGAGAAGGACTGCTGAAAGAGGATTCCCAGGGAGAGCAGAATGAAGGTCCTCAGAACTTTCTGTATGTTCCTCTCTGATTTTGGTGGCAGGTTCTCTGGGTATCTGATTGGGTCATTCCATTTTCCTTAGCTTCCATTTGTCTACGAGACCAGTTTGCATATCTCAGCAAGGCAAGATTGGCTCTTTGCCATGACCCCATGCCCTTGACCAAGATAGATGGGGACAGGGGTGGAGGGGAGGAAACTGGAGGGAGGACAATGAAACATTGATTTTGGATAGATGGCTTCAAATGATCTTTGGAGCAACCAGCAGAGTTAGAAATATGGTTCTGAAGCTCAGGAGAGAGGTGGGATAGGCGTTAGAAATTTGGGGTCATCAGAAAATAGAGTAATAAAAGGGATGGGAGTAGATATGTTTGGGTAAAGCATGTTTAGAGAAAAAAGCTAAATATAGAACCCCAAAGGACAAGCACATTTAGGAACCTGAAGAGGAATGAGGATAAGTCAGAGATCCCAGTTGAGACCCTGGCCTTATCTTTCCTCTGTCTTAGTTTTATGCATTTCAGTTCTACCAGTAGCTCTGGGTCCAAATTCAGGGGCTAGAAAGTCACCTCTGGGAGAGTCTTAAGAAGTGACTGTGAAGAGACCTCTGAGACCAGGATACCAGAATGCTCTCTGAATGTGCTATAACCCTCTACCTTGCACGGAGAATGAATAGTAGAGTTGTACCCCAAATTTTGGCCTCAGGTGAGGTGTGGGGGCCTCAGGTGTTTTGTCTGTTTTTAAATGCACTCATTAGCTTGTCTCTTGTAGAATAAATGTTCTCTACAAGGGAGTTTGTATCAGAATTACCTGGGAAGATTATTTTTCAAATACAATCCTGGGAGTGTGTGTATTTGGGAGTTTGGGGGTGGCGGGACAGCTGCCAGGCATCTTTTGAAATAGTTCCCCAGGGGATTTGCCCTACTACTTCCTCTATAATTACTGTTTTCTAGGGGCTCCAATGGATTAAAATGGACATTAACTGCTTTATCATGAATTCTTTACCCATCTTTCAGGGGGCAGGAAAGAGCCCTGGCTCAATGATCCAAATGACTGTAACAATCACAGTGACCTGTTCTCAGACTCAGAGGTAACCCATATTTAGGTAGAGAGGGATGTCTGAGAAAATCAAAAGGCAGGTGAGCAGAAGCAGCAGGGATCATCGCTAGAGGGAAGGGGAGGGAAATGGAGGAGCTGAGCTAATTTCTAAAAAAGGGTTGGGGGATCTGGGATGCTATGGTGCAAGACTTGGTTGGGAATTAAAACGTAAAGCTGAGGTTTATCTTGGTTACTCAAAAGCGTTTTCCGGGGGGCCTCCCCTGGTGGCGCAGCAGTTGAGCCCTGGGCTGCAAAGCTGCCCGCAGCCTCTGCAGCATCAGTTTGATCCCCGGCTTCCAGGCGAGGGTACCACATGGCGAGCAAACCTCTCCTGCCACCCGCTGTTCCCCTCAGCAGTATATTTCATCAGTCTGCCTGTTCTGTTCCCCACTCTGGCTCTGGTGAATCCTCTTACCCTCCTGCACTTCTGCTGTACCCAGTGCTTGTATAAATAAACAAATCTTAAAAAAAAAAAAAAGCGTTTTCTGGGTAGCTTGCTTGGTAGCTTGTCTGAAATGCAGAATCTTGGGCCCTTCCCCAGCCCTGCTGAATTACAATTCTGCATTTTTTAATAAGAGCCCCAAAGGTTTCTTCTGCGCATTCAAGTTTAAGGACTGGTCTGTACAGGGAGCAAACCCCAGACCACCAGAAAGCAGTTGCCTGGGTAACTTAAGCACTTTATTTTGAACATCTTTTATTGACATAGGACAGTGGTTTTTGAAAAGGTATTGAATTTTTAAAAATGAAGTTCTGTAAATCCTAGAGAAAGACCTTTAACTGCGGGGGGGGGGGGGCCGAGGGGGGCAAGGGGGGCAGGTGGTGGTTTCCCACATGCAAAATTCCTTCCTCTGGAAACATTTCCTGTGCAGTTAAGCACTAGGCTTCCTTCCAGGGCGGCAGAGCTCCGCTAAAAGTGTGCGATAAGAAAAAGGCGCGCGGCCAAGTCAGCCCTTCACATGGCCCCGCCACAGCCCTTGGCAGCTCCGCGCCACCAGGACGGGCTTTTAAAGAAAGTCAAGCTGGCGGCTGCTCTGCCCCCGAGGGAAGCTCTAAGTTGAATCTTGAAAGCTGAAAATGTAGAAGGAAGACTTGACAAAACTATTTCAAGGAGCGTGGTCGGATAATCGCTACCCCCGGGAGGGCAATAATTGCCATCCACCGAGGAGGCCCTAGTGACCTTCGACCTTTGACCCCCGCGCCCAGCTCGCCGGTTCTTTGCGCAGCTTCCGCCCCCGCCCCTCCGGCGAAGGGCCGGCCGGAGGGTGTGGGCGGAGCTCTGAGGCCGGCGGTTAGGGGCGGTGCCTGTAAGGGGCGGGTCTCGCGAGGGGCGGGATTTGAGGAGGCCTGCTAGCATTGGGCGGCCGGGCGTGGGCGTGGCCTAGCGCTGGGCTGGATTGGGCGGGGCAGAGACTGAGTCGCCGCCTCCGGGGAGCTGCGCTGGGGCGGCCAAACCTCCGGAGGCCGCGGGGCGGCCGGCGGCGCCTAGTAGGTCCCGGATCCGGAATTCCCCGGGCAGGACCGGAATCAGGATCGGCCGTAGCCAGACCTGATCTGAGGAACTCGCGCACTTGGATTAGGAAATCCCGGAGCCCGGATCCACAACCCTCGGCACCCGGAATTGGGATCGGGCCGGCGCGGAGCGGACTCGGCGCGGAGCCCGGAGCCCGGATCGCGGCCGCGCCGGACGGGACGGAGCGATGTCGGGCCGCGGCGCGGGCGGGTTCCCGCTGCCCCCGTTGAGCCCTGGCGGCGGCGCCGTGGCCGCGGCCTTGGGAGCGCCGCCTCCGCCCGCGGGGCCCGGCATGCTGCCCGGGCCGGCGCTCAGGGGCCCGGGGCCGGCGGGCGGCGTGGGGGGCCCCGGGGCCCCCGCCTTCCGCTCCATGGGCCCCGCGGGCCCCGCGGCGCAGTACCAGGTGAGCGGCGGGCGCGGGCCGGGCGGCGGGGGGCGCGGGGCCGGAGGGGGAGCCGGGGGAGCGCGTGAGGAGCGCCCTGGGGGGAGTTTGCAGGCGGGGCGCTCGGGGCTTCCCGGGGCGGACGCGGGCGAGGCGGCGCGGCGCCGGGCCGGCCGGGACGGAGTGAGGCGCAGTCCTGGAAGTGAGGAGCAAGTTTCGGAAAGGGACCCTCGCGAGGAGGCGGGGGCTGCTCCCGCCCGGGCCTGGTCTCGCTCCAGGTCTCTCTGTTACTTCTCGTTGGGAGCTGGCACCGCGCGGTGGGTCTGAAATGGCTCCCAGCTGCCGAGGGGAGGAAGGAGGGCCTGGCTCCCCACAGCCCCAGAGAGGTCGGCTCGGGGCCGGGGCTTCTGCCTGTGCCTGGGTCAGGCCTGGGAGCGGCGGCGGCGTCCTCCGGGTTAGACCAGAGACGGTGGAGGCGCGCCTGGTGGAGGGGGAAAGCCCGGCCCATTCCGGGGAGACTTTGTTTTTGGCTCTCCGCCTGGTGTCATAGTGTCCAGGAGCTGATGAGTCTGGAGGGGCAGAGAGGCTCCGCGGAGCCCGGCTGCTCTGGGGCTGGAGGAGCCTTGGAAAGCTGCTTCAGAGGGTCTGTCCTGACCCCTTTGGGGCTTGGCTAGGAAGTGAGCTTCTCAAGTTGCAACTTCACAGGCCGTTGAGAGGAGTCTGGGTCCTTAGGGTCAGTGCGTGAGAAACTCAGCCTGACCCTGCTGGGGACGCGCATCAACCGCCCCCACTCCACTGTTTCTGGTTACCCAGAATGATTGGGTATTGCCCCCACCCCTTTCCCAGCCCCCGCCCCACTTTCACTTCAACTTTGGGTTCTGACAAGGCCCTGTCTCAACCCATGCGCCTCCCCGTCTGGGGCTGGCTTCTAGCAAGAAGGAAGGAAGGAAGCAAGCTTGGGTTTCCTCTGGTCCCTCATGCCCCCAAGCAGGGGTCTCAGAATTGGATCCTCACATGCATGTCCTCCCAGGACCCCTCAGAGATGTTTCTCTGCCTCCTGCCTCTAAGGAAAACAAAGGGTGTGGGTTTGAGCAGGACAGACCCCAGCTGGGGCCATCTTTTCTGTATCGCTTTCGCCTTGGGAATTCTTGGGCCTGAGGTGCTGCCCAGGGATCCCTGCATGAATCATTCGGGCCCTCGGCCCGCTAGCTGAGACTGGGCCTGGGCGCCTCTGTGTGTGCCTTTGGCCTGGGAAGGACCTAAGGAACAAATGGGCACCTTTTCAGTTTCTTTCGCTTGCAGCCCATGGGAAGAGCGGTGTGGAGAAAGCCCCAGAGAGGATGGCTTCGCAGCGGTGTGTGGGGGGTGACCCCGGACCAGTGGCAGGGTGGGGCTGGCTGGCAGGGTGGCCCTGGGATAGGAGTGGGGAAGGCTGGGAAGGGGGCCAAGGCACTGAGCCTCGTTGAGTCCAGCTTCTTATCCCTCCACCTCCTCTTTCCAGAAGGGGCTGTAAAGGTGGACGGGGAGAGGAAGAGCCCGTTTCATTTTGACTGAGTTCAAAAGAGGTTCGTGCTTGGCCTCTTTCCAAGCCTTTTTTTTTTTTTTTTTTTTTGTGGGACCCTCGCCGTTGGCCGGGGATCGAACTGGCCCTGCAGAGGCTGCGGGCAGCCTCGCAACCCAGCGCTCAACCGCTGCGCCACCAGGGGAGGCCCCCAAGCCCAATTTTTTGACATTTAGGAGAGGAGACCAGAGCTCTGAGAACCAACGGGGTTCTCGTCTTTTAGGGTGTACGAGATGAGCTGGAATTGAGCAAGGATTTGAGGGCCCACGTTGGCCAGATGGGGGAACCTGTTGAAAGAAGGGAGGTGATGACCCCCCTCCCTGCAGGCAGTGGCTGTAGCTGTGCATCAAGTCAAGTGAAGCGGTGTAAAAAAAACTAAACACAGATTGCTGGGCTCACTCCAGAGAGTTCAAATTATTTTCTACTCGTGGAGGGGTACGTAGCCCCCAGAAGCATGAGGGCCCCCAGTTTAAACACAGGGCAGAGCTTGTTCTTGGAGGAGGCAGCATCAGGCCCAGCCTCCTGCCCCTGCTGTCCTGGATGGTGGCCGTCCCTGGAGCTCGGGCGCCGGCTGGTGCTGGGCTAGGGGAGAGGAGCGCGTGCGTTTGCAGGCTCAGGGCGCGCTGACAGGCTTACCTAGCCCTGCTGCAGGCCGGGAGCTGGACAGCCGGGGAGTTCTGGACTGCCTTTCTTTCATTTTTTTTTTTTTTAATAGTTCTGGGGTGGTTTTTTGAAAAAGCAGAATTACTGGTGCTTCAAAACACAGGTGTGGAGCTTGGCAAGGCCAAGATGGGACCTCAAGCACTTGTAAGCAGCCTTTCCCCCTTGGGAGAAGCCTGGGGCCCGCGCGAGCTGCACTGGGGAAGTCTGGAGCAGATGCCTGGGAGGGGCCTGCAGGCCCTGCCTGCACTGCCTTGTCTTGGGACTTCCTGTTGCTAGAGCGAGTACCTGCCTAGGAGGGCTGGGTGGTGCTGAGGAGGCCTGGGGAAGGCCCCAGTGAGTAGCGCTTGGGGACTGCAGGGCTCCAGGGCACACTCTGCAGGTCCCATGGCGTCTGTGGCTCCCGGCCCGGCTCAGGCGCTGCGTGGGAAGAAGTCCAGCCCGGGCTGTCTAGGGCCTGGGCCTACAGCTGCGACCACACTGAGTATTTCTATAATCTCTGGCCGTGGTTCATTAGGGCAGAGAAACAGGCTGTCTTTAGCTTTTCAACAGCTCAGACGAATCTCTTCCTGATGAGGAGTGACTTGTGGCAGGGCTCTGAGGTCCCAGCACCCCCATGTTTAACCCCATTTTCCAAATGCTGCCTCCTGCCCTACTCCTTCTCCCGCTCCCCCCTCCCCATCCCTGCCTCTGGGTCAGGTTTCCCGCCATCTTTGCGTCTGTTCCAAAATCTGACCCTTGGGTGAGAACATGGGTTGGGTGTGCTGGATGAAGAGGTGAGGGAAGACTCTCATCTTCGTGGTTTAGGGGTGGGGGGGCGTCCTTTGATTTGGGCGAGTCCCCTCCCAGCCTGACTTGGTTGGCTGGTTGTGCTGGTTGCATAATCTGGGCCCTGGGGCCAACCCTGTGAGGCTGCCAGGGACAGTGTGTTCAAGGCAGAGCTGCCAAACAGGCCTTGCAGGCAGCAGCCGTAGGAAAGGGGCGGGGGACTGAACTTACTCCCAGAGGGGGACCGGGACCTCCATGGAAAACCCCTGACTGACTTCTAAAGAGGCTGTTTCTGTCCCCCTCTGCTGGCCCTCAGGCTCTGATCCTTGCCTCCCAAATAATCTTAGTGCCACTCTCCGGTTTGGGGTTGTGGGGGTTACCATGAGCCTGAGCCGGCCCCAGGTGGTACATGGACCACAGCAGAGTCCAGGTGCCAGCTGCACTCACCCGCAGGCCATCAGGAGCCACAGCGCCCCTCTTGGGGTCTTCCAGCTTAGGGCTAGGAGTGGGGCAGGAGGGCCGCGAGAGCAGGGTCCGGTGGAGTGAGTAGGGACCATATGGCGACCAGATGGTCCCTGCGCTCTGCCCGTGGCCACCCCCACCAGTTGGGACATGCTCCAGGCCCGCCTGTTGGAGCTTGCTCACCTGGGTGCCGCGCCCTGATAGGCTTGCCGGCCCACTGGACTGTCCTGGCCACAGCACCGGGCTGTTCACATCACACTCCCCCTTGCAGTGCCCCCCTCGTCTCTCAGGTGGGGGAAGAGAAGAAGGGGGCACATGCTGGCACCACCCGAGGGCCCCAAGAGTGCCTGGAAGCCTGCTGGTCCCAGGGAGCCAGGGCAGAGCGTGCTGGGGCTGGAAGGTGGCTGTGGGCCCTGAAAAACTCCCCCAGGCCCTTCCCTCTGCTGGCAGGATTCCCCGCCCACCCTCTGGGTTCTGGCAGGCCTCATTCGCTGGCACGGCTGCCAGGGCGGTTGAAGGGGGTGGGGCAGGTGTGGTTTACACTTCTGCTCTCAGGCGCCTGCTCCCCTTTGTTCCTGCCCCTCCAGCCCGGGCTCCACGGTGTGCTGCTCAGGGCCCGACCTGGCTGAGGAGCAGGATGGAGGGCATGGGCTACGGGCCCCGCAGGACCCTGCCGCTGACCTATGCCCCCCCGTTGGCTCACTTCCCGCAGCGGCCGGGCATGTCACCTGGGAGCCGGATGCCCATGGCTGGCTTGCAGGTGGGACCCCCTGCCGGCTCCCCGTTTGGCACGGCTGCTCCACTTCGGCCTGGCATGCCACCCACCATGATGGACCCATTCCGAAAGCGCCTGCTCGTGCCCCAGGCCCAGCCCCCGATGCCTGCCCAGCGCCGGGGGTAAGACCTTCCTGATTCTCGCACCCTCCCTGCTACCTAGGACAGCTCTAGTGGTAACAGGGGGTTGCCTTCTGTTCTCAGAGCTGCATGACTAAGGAAGACGCCTGGTTCTCTTGGGATCCTAGGGATTAGAGGGGTCTATGGGGGTGTCCTTTGGATCACTGGTTTCTGTCCTCCCCAGGTTAAAGAGGAGGAAGATGGCAGATAAGGTTCTACCTCAGCGAGTGAGTATGTTGGGAGAGGGCCTAGGAGGCCTGCCCAGCGGCTGACTGGCTGTGGGTGGGTCCGTGTCCCCAATCCTGGGATCGGGGGCAGACGGAGCCAGAGCTGTGGCTGAAACAAGCGGATGCCTTCCTTCTCCCCTCCTCCAGATTAGGGAACTTGTCCCAGAGTCTCAGGCGTACATGGATCTCTTGGCTTTTGAGCGGAAGCTGGACCAGACCATTGCTCGCAAGCGGATGGAGATCCAGGAGGCCATCAAAAAGCCTCTGACGGTGCGTGCAGCCCCGGCCCCTCCCAGCCTCTCCCAGTGGCTCTGCCTTTCCCTGGCCTGCTCTCCCGGAGCCAGGCCGGGTCTGTGTTGGGTCACAGCAAGACTTTTCACCAGGATGCAGGCCATGAGTATCATGGAGTCCATTGAATGTGGGGCCACATGTTTTTAATGAAATGCAAAATAGTAGCGATGATTCTACTTCGCAGAAGCCAGGTACTTACTGTGGTGGTGAAGGTATAGTTTCCTGACCTTTTTGCTTCAGATTCTTGTGTATGTGCTTCTGGATCTTGGGTCACGATTTAAAATGTAAATCTTGTGAATGGTGGTCAAAAGTTCTAGTGTGGCTAGAGGGGAGATCAGGGTGGTTTGTTTCCTTCCCCATCCCTACAGGAACATTTTTCTTCTCTCTTTTCAGAAGAATAAAGCTTCTAGGACAGGCCCCCGAGTCATGGCAGCTTTCCGTAGATGAGGCTATCTGGGGGCACTGATGTGTGTTTTGAGTGTCATGTAAGATACGAGTCAGGCTTCCGATTTGCCCGATACACTCTGTATGTGCCTCCGAGCCACTGTGTTGGAATTGTCAGAGCGCATCTGGCATCTGTGTCGTTGTGGTGTCCCCCCACCCCGCTAAACCCCAGAGTTCCTGGAAGGCCAGGACCAGGGGTAGCAAATTCCAGGAAGGTGCCCGGCCCTTAGTGTGGATGTTGAGCGAGTCCAGGGAGGAAGGTTTCATGGCATTTTCCCAGCTTGTTGCTCCACGTCTAGCTGGTTATCTTTCTCCCTTTAGCAAAAACGAAAACTGCGGATCTATATTTCCAACACGTTCAGCCCCAGCAAGGCAGAAGGAGACAGCGCGGGAACTGCAGGGACCCCCGGGGGAGCCCCAGCAGCGGACAAAGTGGCGTCCTGGGAACTGCGAGTGGAAGGAAAACTGCTGGATGACGTGAGTTGGGGACGGACTGGACTGGAGGGGATATCGTTTGGGGGGCTTCATACTGGGGCCCTTTGGGAGAAGCCCTCCCTGCAGGAGAGGGCGCCGCGCAGCGCCCAGCTAGGGAGGGCTGGTGTGTCCATGTGGTTATTGCAACAGCTCTCCTGCAGAGGGCGGTAAAGCGTCTCGAGTCGGGGTACCCGCTTCTCGCTTCGCCTGTTACTAGCTAGAAGTGGCCTGCAGTGTCCTCACTCTGTCTCTAGTCTTTTTTTTTTTTTTTTTTTCTTTAAAGATTTATTTATTTATTTATACAAGCACTGGGTACAGTCAGAAGCGCGGGAGGGTGAGAGAATTCACCAGAGCCAGAGCGGGGAGCAGAACGTCTGCCTCTAGTCTTTTCCCTGCTCCTCCAGGCCCAAGAATCCTCTGGACTCCAGGGCTGAAATCATTCTTTTTGGGGCTTGGCGTAACTAAGGTTCAAGAGGTCAATAACACCCCCATTTTGCACCCCTTCTCACCTCAGCCTAGCAAACAGAAGAGAAAGTTTTCTTCGTTCTTTAAGAGCCTCGTCATTGAGCTGGACAAGGAACTCTACGGGCCTGACAACCACCTGGTGGAGGTGAGAGCGAGCCTGGGCCACGGGGAAGCCAGGCTGACGTGCTAGGGACCCCTGGGTGATGCGCTCTGGTCCCCTCCTCTGCCAGTGGCATCGGATGCCCACCACCCAGGAGACGGACGGCTTCCAGGTGAAAAGACCTGGAGACCTCAATGTGAAGTGCACCCTCCTGCTCATGCTGGATCACCAGGTGACGAATGTCCTGGGCTACAGGGGCCATCTGGGGGCGGGAGCGGGTTCCTCTTGTAAACGCTTCCTGTCCCTGCCCTCTTCAGCTTTGTTTTTCCTAAGTTCCCCCTCCGTCCCTCCCCAGCCTCCCCAGTACAAACTGGACCCCCGACTGGCGAGGCTGCTGGGGGTGCACACACAGACGAGGGCCGCCATCATGCAGGCCCTGTGGCTTTACATCAAGCACAACCAGCTGCAGGACGGGCACGAGCGCGAGTATATCAACTGCAACCGCTACTTCCGCCAGGTGAGCCCGGAGGCCACGCCCACCCGAAGCCCGACGAGGCCGGTTCTTGGTCACATTCTTGCCACTTCCCCCTTGTCCTCTGCCCGCTGCAGATCTTCAGCTGTGGCCGGCTCCGTTTCTCCGAGATCCCCATGAAGCTGGCGGGGTTGCTGCAGCATCCGGACCCCATTGTCATCAACCACGTCATCAGGTAAGTGGGAGGGGAGGGGCGGGAAGGCCCTTCCAGGAGCAGCTTATCTTTGGCTTGACCTCTAGTCAGCAGTGGCAGGTTTGGCCCCGGGTGGGCGGATGGACACAGCTGCGCTCACTGGCCCTGCTGTGCCGCCCGCAGCGTGGACCCCAACGACCAGAAGAAGACGGCCTGCTACGACATCGACGTGGAGGTGGACGACCCACTCAAGGCCCAGATGAGCAATTTCCTGGCTTCCACCACCAATCAGCAGGAGATTGCTTCCCTTGATGTCAAGGTGGGCCCCTGGCCACCCCAGCCTCCTATGGGCTGGGCAGGCTGTAGGGCGCCTCCCTCCGTCACACCTTGGCGACAGGGTTTCTGTCCGTCCTGTGGGTTTAGGCCCAGAGGCGGGCCCTCCGGCGGTGGTCTTCTCTGACGCATGCACTCCGCCCCCCAGATCCATGAGACCATTGAGTCCATCAACCAGCTGAAGACCCAGCGGGATTTCATGCTCAGCTTCAGCACTGACCCCCAGGATTTCATCCAGGAATGGCTGCGTTCCCAGCGTCGTGACCTCAAGGTGCGGTCCTTTCCTGAGGCTGACCCCATCTTAAGCTCTGACCTCGATCTCCTGTATTCTGGCTCCAGGGGCAGCGGGCTGCTCGGGGGTGGGGACTGTGCTTCAGCTCCCTCCTGCTCTCTGCAGATCATCACTGATGTGATCGGGAATCCTGAGGAGGAGAGACGAGCCGCTTTCTACCACCAGCCCTGGGCCCAGGAGGCAGTGGGGAGGCACATCTTTGCCAAGGTGAGGCGGCTCTGCCCTGTGTGCTTCCTGTGGTTCGAGCAGCAGAGGCCTGAGCCGCTGGTCTCTCCTCTCTGCAGGTGCAGCAGCGAAGGCAGGAACTGGAACAGGTGCTGGGAATCCGCCTGACCTAACTGCTCAGGGATCCCTCCTCTCCCCGGCCGCGGAAGAAGCCCCTCCCTCAGCCTGACAGGGGACCACCGTCTGGGGCCACAGACACGTAGGATAAGGACGGGGTGAGGGTTGTCTCCTGCCACCCTCTGCTCCCCAGCTGTAGTTGCGCAAGCGTAGAGGTAGCATTCCTTGTTGCTTGGCCCCCAGAGCCTTAGTACTTATTTTACACATTGGCTTTAACTGGGTCACATCAGTCGCCTTCTGCCCCCTGCAGGCAGCCCGCGTGGGACTGCTGGAGGCTGTGCTTTGACTTGCCCCAGAGACATTTCAGAACCAAAGGCCACTGGCTTTGCTTGTTTACAGACTCCCCCTTGGGGCAAGGGGAGCTGGGCAAGGAAGGGGGCGGGCACAGCTCCCACTCCTCCTTGCCTTTCTAAACCAAAGTTCTTTGCCATTCCTACAAGCCCAGCCTCGCTGCTGGTTTTTTTCCTTTGGGTATTTGCACTATTTGGGGGAGCAGGTTTTTTTATGTGGGAGCCACTTTTTTTGTACAGGGGTAAGTTGGGGTCTTTGAGGGAGCCCTATTTGGTGCCCCCTTGTTTTCTTTCCTCAATCTATGCAAGCGGCTCTAGCCGCCATCATCTCCTGGGATGCCAGAGGGCTGCTGCCCCAGCTACTTGGGCCCTGGGTGGGAAGGCCTCCTCGAGGGAGGGGATTCTGGTTCTGTTGTGTGGCCTGAGGTACGGGTGTTTGTCTTGGTGGGGGGCAGTGAAGGGAGGCTGGGGTAATAAGACTGTTGCCCTCTGGAGCTTGGTAAGGAGGGTGGGCCTAGGGCTTGTAAAGGTGCCACTGCTGGCAGGTTTGGAAAATTCCAAATAAATCCTTTTGTTTATTGGCGGTAGCTAGCCCTGGTCATTCGGCAGTGCAGCCACTCAGTAACAGACTGAAGTCCTGGAGGGCTCGTCCTATAGAGCTTTTATTAGCGCGACCCACGCAGAGGACATCCACTTCACTTCCACAGCTTCTTAATGGACATGTTTTTCTCACTGTCCTTCTGCATGACCTGCAGGGAGACGGTATCAAGTTATCATCTGGGTGAACACGCACCCCGCCCCCACTGCGACTAGCAGCAAAGCAGAGAGTCGGAGGTCGTACCTTGGCCACCGCCATCTCAAAGTCCTCCTGGGTGACGTGAACTCGCCGTTCCCGCAGGGCATACATGCCGGCTTCGGTGCACACGCCCTAGCCGGGAAGGAGGACGGGCGCTGTGGCTGTGCCCTTGAACCCAGCGCTGCCCGCCTCTGCGCCCCTTCCCTTGGGCACACCAATTACCTTCACTTCAGCCCCTGATGCTCCGGGCATGAGCTCAGCAATTTTCCTCAGGTTGATCCCCCTGGTCAGGTTCATTTTCCGAGAATGGATCTTCAAAATGTCCAGCCGAGCCTAGAGATGGGAGAGGAGAAAAGTCTGAGCCCACAGCTCTCCGGCACAGCCCAGCCGGCCCCAGTCCTGCCCACCACAAACCTCCTCATTGGGGGGTGGGAATTCAATTTTTCTGTCGATGCGCCCCGGGCGAAGCAGCGCTGAGTCCAGGATGTCGATCCTATTTGTAGCCATGATCACCTGCGTGGAGACGTGGCGTGGCTTCCTCAAGCTGCATGTCACCCAGGGTCTTCCCGTGGCTACTCCCACAGCGAACACGGCCTTACCTTGATGTTCTTGGTGGCTTCAAAGCCGTCCAGCTGGTTGAGCAGCTCCAGCATGGTGCGCTGCACTTCGCTGTCCCCTCCAGAGCCTCCCTCCAGCCGAGAGGAGCCGATGGAGTCAATTTCGTCCATGAAGATGATAGATGGGGCATGTTCTCGTGCCATGACAAACAGCTCCCTCACCATTCTTGCCCCTGTGCGGAGGCCAAACTGGTGCTAAGGAGCTGACACGCCCCCTGCCCTCACCCCAGCCCACCACCACTTGGTTTTCCTGTTCCGAGCCAGTTACCTTCCCCAATGAATTTCTGTACCAGTTCAGAACCAGACACACGAATAAAAGTACAGTCCGTATGATGCGCCACAGCCCGAGCCAACAGAGTCTTCCCAGTGCCTGGGGGTCCATATAGCAGCACTCCCTGGAGAGAAACAGGGCTCAGCCAGAGGGCCAGTCCCCTCATTTCATTCAATAAACACTTATTCTGGGCTTGCTCTGGGCTAAGTTCTATGCTGGACGTACCAAAACCAAACACAAAGACTCCTGGGGCTTATATTCAAACAACCTCCGTGCCTTGGCAACCTTCTCCCCCTGCCCCTCTTCAGTGGCGAGGGCTTAAGTAGGTGGTTCCTCCCCCGACCGCAGGGGCAGGGGGCACAGCAGAGCACGGGTCTCCCACGGAAGCCCTGCCTCTCACCTTGGGCTGTGCGATGCCCAACGCCTCAAAGAGCTCGGGATGCTTCACGGGCAGCTCGATCACTTCTTTGATCTCTTTGATCTGCTTGTCCAGCCCACCAATCATCTCGTAAGTTGAGTCTGGCACTTTCTCCACCATCATCAGTGACACCAGTGGGTCTACCTTGTTGGGAAGGATCTTGTGCAGAGTGTAGCTGTCATTTCTTAGAGCTACCCGGCAATTGGGGGTCACCTGAGCGAGGGAAGAGTTTCAGGAAGGGGTATTGTGAGCGCTGACCCCAATCTCCCACCTCACCTGTTACACTCACATCATTGATGTCGATGTTCTTGTCCACGTCTACCACAAACTTCCCCTCAGGATGTACCTAGGAACACGAGGGCTCGTGACCTTCCCTGACAACCACAAAATTACCAGCTCCCCCCACCCCCCTAAAGACCCGTAAGCCCTAGAGCAACGTGACAACAGTATTCTCATAGGCTACACACGAGAGGATGCCTTTTACCTTCACCAACACTTTCTTCTTATCCATGGCCCGAACGACTTCCCCCACATAGGAGCCCTGTTCTTGCAACAGCTGTAGCTCCTCCCGCAATAGCCGAACTAGATGGCAAATGGGCAGAGTGGTCACCCGAGTTCTTTGGTGCTTCCCCACCCCTCCAACCCCCCACCCCTTCAATATCCATGAACTAAATTCTACTTTGAAGAAAAGGCCACAGAAATAAAAATGGATGCCTTTAAGAAGGTTACAATGGGCCTTAAGATGATATAAACATCACCTTAGACTGGAATAACAGTAAGTACCACTGTGAAGTCCACTCCAGGACTGAAGAGTCAGGTCTCACACTGCCTATCTATAGTCTTCCCATGCCTCCGCCTCACCTTTTGCATTAAGTTCATTCCTCTGTGCCTGCAATCTCCGGAGATTTTGGCTCTTATCATTCACAATCAGCTGTGGAGGGCAGGAGAAAAAGGGAGAAAACGGAAGATAGAACCTTAGTCAAGACCCTCACAGACTGGTAAGAGCCAAGAGAGAGAAAGAGAAGCACAGAGAGAACCTGTATGTTGTTTCCACTCCTCTAGTATGACCCTAGTGACCATATCTTGTCCTTCAGAAGTCCCTCTGGAGTACGGGGCAGCTATCTGGTAAGGTGGGTCAAGAATAAGAAACTGGGCCTCCCTGGTGGCGCAAGGGGGTGGGCGCCGCTCTATGGGATGGTTCACGGCCTCTGCGGCACCGAGTTCGAAGCCCCGGCCGGCGGGGGAGCAGCCCACATGGCGCAGCAGACCTCCCCTGACTCGCCTGCTGCTCCCCTCAGCAGTGTATTTCAGTCAATCTGCCTAATCTGTTCCCAGCTCTGTCTCTGGTGGGTTATCTCAACCCTCCACCCCCTCATGCACCCCAGCTCCAGTATGCAGAAATAAATCTTAAAAAAAAATAAATTAGAAATCCTAAGGGAAAAATTTATTATAGACTCATGTAGTCCATTTCTATAAAGCAGTAAGATAGCACTGGGGGAAAATGTTTGAGTCAAAAGCCTAAATTCTGGCCCCACTACTGCCAATAACCAGCTAGGGAATGCTGAAGAAAGTAACTGAAAAGCCTAACTCTCCTATCAAAATGCAGGTGGGTACAGCGTCACCTAGCCCGCCTCATTCGTTTCAGGACTATGGTGAGAAACAAATGAAATTGCCCAAAGGCCAGCCAACTACAACACCTGCCAATATAGCCGGAGTTCATGCAATTTCATGGGGCTTTCTTCCACCCAATGTCTACTGCCCATCTCCCCAATTTCTATGATCCCTGCTCCCTCTAGGCTGGAGATGGGGCTGCTTTTCATTCAGTTCTATGGAATCAGTGTTGTCCAGACTCTTCAATTCTTCTTCCCTGATAATCTCATTCTGCCCCAAACCCCCACTGCTAAATCCCACATCCTGAACCCAGTCTTCCCTTTTAAAAGAAACCCTCTGGTTCAGGATTCTTCCCAAAAGCCTTTGGCCAGGGGAACCTTTTTTGGTTAAAACTTGACCCTTGAAGAAACAAACCGTAAATGCTGGTTAACTTCAAAGAGATGAACTTCAGAGCACTAAGTGTTACCTTCACGGACTCTATTTAAACCACTAGCTCACTACTAACTATACGCACACTATTCTGATAGCTAAAAAAGGAATAAACTTTGTCCACTACACCTCCACGAGAATTATACAGATTTGCAGAACCCCCCTCCACCTGTCACCCCCGCAGAGCTCCCCTGTAGGCCTCCTCACCTGGAGTTCTTCAATCTTGGACAGATAGTACTGGCGGAGTCCACAGCCTGCCTTCCCCTCTTCCAGCTCCATCTTAAAAAGACACGGTGCAGCTATTAAATAAGAGACTAGACATCGCAGGGGCCAAGCTACTTCCAGCTTGGCATGTAGGGGTTTTAAGATTTGGGTTCTAACCCCTCACTCCATCTCGGAACCCTTCCTTGCCAAACCACGACTACACCGCAAGCGGGGAGAAGGCCTCCCACCTCCCAAGACCTGAAAAGACAATGCACAAGGACGCGCTTTGCCTGGCGGCAAGCGCTAGAGACCCGAGGAGTTGGGAGCACGGGCTGAGCCGGCAGACGAGCCGGCGCCCGGTCTCCCGCGCCCCCGGCGCGTCGGTCCCCGCGCTCCCCTCCGCCTCCACCGCGTCTTCCTCTCCCGGCCCAGCTCTGAGCCGCCGGGGGCGGCGCTGACACAGCAGATCCGGTTCCGCACAGGTCCAGCCTCTATTGGTTGACTCACCCCCGATCCACCAGACCCTCTTGGCCCCCGCCGGTTGCCCGCCTCCGGTCAGGCCCGCTCCGCATGCCGCCCGGGTCCCCGCCGGCCGCCCCCAGCGCCATACCTGCTCCGGCCCGTCCAGCGCCATCTTCCCTCCTCCGCGGAGACGGCCGGCATCCGAGACGCCTGGGCGCGCAGGCGCAGAAGCGGCGCCCGCGACCCGCAGCCGCCGGCGGAGGAGTTCCGGGTCAATGGGCGGGGCGTACGGAGACACGCCGAGCAACTGGTGGGGGGAGGGGTCCGCGACGGGCCGGGAGCTTGGAAGGGGGTGAGGAGAGCACAGAACTCAGCTTGCCTTTCTAGAAAATCAGCTTTTAGTTAAAGTATTTTCTCTCCTGACCCAACCTCCAACTTGTAAGATCTGGGCAGAGGATGGAGAAAAGTCGTTGCCACGCTCAAAATGGCGGAAAACCTGACGCCGGGGACGCAAGCCGCGCAAGCGGAAGCGGAAGCGCGTTTGCTGCTTCCATGTGCAGCTTCTAGTGCGGAGGAAAAGGGCGGTGGGTGGCGGAGGGTGGCGGAGGGTGGTGTGGGGCTCGCGGGCAGCCGGGAAACGGAGAGCGGAATTCAGCGCTCTGGAAGAGGTTCCCACCTTCTACCGTCGCCTCAGCCTGAGTGACACTCCCGCTCCGCCATGGGCAAGAAGGGCAAAGTCGGGAAGAGCCGGCGAGACAAATTCTATCACCTGGCGAAGGAGACCGGTGAGCCAGAGCTCCGGCCGCGAGCCGGCTGCGAGCGAGCGACCCCCGCCTCGACCTGGGGCGCCCCTCACCCGGAATCCTTGCGCCGAAGGGGTGGCGGGCTTTAAGATCGCGAAGTGCTCCGGCAACTTCACTGTTTTGTCGTCGCCCCCAGGGTATCGTTCCCGCTCCGCTTTCAAGCTGATCCAGCTCAATCGCCGCTTTCAGTTCCTGCAGAAAGCCCGAGCCCTGTTGGACCTGTGCGCCGCGCCGGGGGGATGGTGCGTAGCCCTGGCGCGGGGCGCTCCTGAGGGCAGCTTGCCGGGCTCTCGCCTTGCGTGACGGAGTTGCTCTGGAGAAGGGCCATGCAGTAATACCGACCTTCTGTCGTTCTGTTCTCTGGAACATAGTTTCACCTCAACGGTGGTGGCCGTTTTCTCGCTTGGTTGTAGGGAAAAGGCTTGAAACACGTGCATAGGATGTGCTCTGGCTGCTGCACTTGGCAGGCAGAATTCTGTTATGGGGCTGAGAGAGCATCTTCCCTGGGGACGTGGACAGTCCTTGGTGTTTGATTGTCTATTCTTTTATAGGCTGCAGGTGGCTGCCAAGTTTATGCCTGTGTCCAGCCTAATTGTGGGTAGGTGACTGGTGGTTCTCCTGGGTACACTAGTGGGTGGGAGTGTGAGTTACTGTCTTTTGGGTTATTTTTTCCTTCCTGCTGGATGCAGCCCTGTGGAATACTCTCACCTGATTTCTTCCAGGAGTGGACCTGGTTCCAATCAAGCCTCTTCCCAATGTGGTGACGCTCCAGGAGGACATCACGACCGAGCGTTGCAGGCAGGTAATTGGAAGGTTACTTTTCTTGTTTCCTTTATGTGCAAATGCCCACGTACTTGCTTCTTACCCAAGTATTCTGAAGGCAAGGTTTGTCCAATTTACTATGCCTTGAGCCGTGCCTGTGTGAGGTCTACAAGTCTTAGCATTCACTCTTAGCCCTGATTTAGGGTCAGGAGTGAGGTGTTTGACATTGGAGGAAGTATAGGGATCTTTAGTGAAATCCTTCCCAGTGGATAGTCTAAGGGACTGTAAGCTCTGTGGAGACAGAGAAATGTTATTTTTATCGTTACATCATACTCTGTGCCTGGCATGGGATTTGGCTCCTGGTGGGCACTCAGATGATTAAGGTGGACAAGTGGCTGACCCAGGGAATCCGTCATTAGCCATGCCTGTTTCTCTTGCTCTAATCCTTTTCCTTCTCTGTAGGCCCTGAGGAAGGAGCTGAAGACCTGGAAAGTTGACGTTGTGCTCAATGACGGGGCACCCAATGTCGGGGCTAGCTGGGTTCATGATGCTTACTCTCAAGGTGCCAGGAGTGGGGAGCATGGAGATGCGGGTGCGGGGCGGGCATGCCCTCTCAGGCTGCAGAGGTCCTCACCTGTCTCTTTCCCACAGCCCATTTGACGCTGATGGCTCTGCGTTTGGCTTGTGATTTCCTGGCCCGCGGTGGCTGCTTCATCACCAAAGTGTTCCGTTCCCGCGACTATCAGCCCTTGCTGTGGATCTTCCAGCAGTTGTTCCACCGAGTGCAGTCCACCAAGCCCCAAGCCTCTCGCCATGAATCTGCAGAGATCTTTGTTGTCTGTCAGGGTGAGCATCTCCTCCTTCCTTGAGCCAGTCTCTCCAACTAGCAAAGCACATTTCCTTATACAGCCTGTCACCTTAGGATTCCTGGCTCCTGACAAGGTTGACAGTAAATTCTTTGACCCCAAGTTTGCCTTCAAGGAGGTTGAAGTTCAGGCCAAGACTGTCACTGAGCTGGTGACTAAGAAGAAGCCAAAGGTATGTTTGGGGGATAGTGCTCCCCTTGTATTCTGGAACTTTGGGGAAGTGATCTGGTGGGTCCTACAGACATCCCCAGGAGGGACTATTCAAACTTTATTTTCCTTTTTAAGGCTGAAGGCTACGCTGAGGGCGATCTCACTCTCTATCACCGTACCTCAGTTACTGACTTCCTCCGAGCTGCCAACCCTGTTGACTTCCTCTCCAAAGCCAGTGAGGTGAGCTAGATTTGACGGCTGTAGGGAAGTCCCAGAAACATGGCTTGAAACTCCTCACTTACTCCTTTTCCTCGTCCCAAGATCTCGCTGGACGATGAAGAGTTGGCACAGCATCCAGCTACCACTGAAGACATACGGTCTTGCTGTCAGGACATCAAAGTGCTGGGGCGGAAGGAGCTTAGGTATGCGGTGGGGGTGGGGATGGGGGTGGAGGTGGGTAGATCAGGAGCCCCAACAGAGGGGAAGGCCTTGGAAGGCCGTGATGCTGAATCTCTTGGAACAAGATGCTGCTGTTTGGGGTAGGAGTTTGAGCCCTGGGATTTATGTAACCCAAGCCTGAGATTTGGGGTGTGGACCTGAAATAGGGGAGAGATGGTAATGCCAGTGATGGTATTTCTGGGACAGGTCCCTACTGAACTGGAGAACAAAGCTTCGGCGCTATGTGGCCAAGAAACTGAAAGAGCAGGCAAAGGCGCTGGATATCAGGTGAGGACGGGACCAAACCAGGGGGAAATGTTGACTGGATGTTGGGGTAAGTGTCTGGAAGAATAATCTGGGATCTCCTTGGACTTTTCCACTAGCCTTAGCTCAGGAGAGGAGGAGGGTGATGAGGAGTCAACAACCGGGACCATGAGGCAGTCCTCTAAGGAAGAGGAGGAGGAGGAACAACTGAATCGAACTCTGGCAGAGATGAAGGCCCAGGAGGTGGCGGAATTAAAGAGGTGAGGGAAGCTGGGGAGGAGCATGGGGAACCCTACCAGTGTGTGAGGGTGGGGTGGGGAAGAGAAGGAAGACAGAGAGAAACCTCAGGGTTTTATTTCTCCACCTACCCCCTTAGGAAGAAAAAGAAGCTTCTGCGTGAGCAGAGAAAGCAGCGGGAGCGCGTGGAGCTGAAGATGGATCTGCCTGGGGTTTCCATTGCAGACGAAGGAGAGACTGGCATGTTCTCCCTGCGCACCATCCGGGGTCACCAGGTGAGGTGGGGTTGGGGCAGATTGAGGATAGAGGGTCTGCTTAGGTTGCTGTCTCCACCCATGAGATGACTCGGCAAGGGGGGATTGGGAAAACAGGAGCCTCCTGTCTCAAGACCAGAAGGAACATACATGTAAAATGATGAAATTAGGAAGATTTAAGACTATGGTGTCAACTTATTGTTTTGTAATTAAAATGTAGAACCAAGAGACACTGCAGGAAGCTGAGGTTAAGTAGCTGCAGGCTTCTACTGGGGTTCCCAGCATGTGTGATGGTTTCCCCTTCAGTTCCCAGAGACTGAGCAGGCAGCACCTTCCTGCACTAGGCTGCCGTGTGGTGGTCACTGCTGAAAGTGGAGAACGTTCTTTTCCCGAACAAAGCAGTGTCACAGGCAACATGAGCTTTTGTGTGGGAATGGGACGGCGAGGTCATCGTTGCTGCCCAGGAAGGCAGGAGAGCACAGTGGCCCTCCGCAGACTCCCGCTGACCTTGGTGGGCCTCGGGTCCTCATCTGCAGAACAGCGCAGAACCTACCTCCTAGCATTCTGTAAGGATGGAAACAGATAGGTGTTATCCCTGGTACATAACGGGCACTCAAGAAATAGCTCTCTGCCCAGAGAAAACAGATCTGGGGGCCGGCCAAATCTAAGCAAAACATTTCTTCCTGTTAGATAGATGTTGTCTGGGAACACGCATAGTGGAAACAAAACACAGATTGTAGCGTTCTCAGAAGGTGATGAGGTAGCTTCTGAGAGCAGTTTTCAGAGAAAAACTATGGGCTAGAACGTTTTAGGATTTGACACTGTCTAGACCGTGGGATACTTTTCCATAAACCTATTCCTGCTGCAACTGACGACAAGACAACTGAGTGGGATGGATCAGCGACCTGCCGACGAGGGGTATTTATAAACAATTAGCCCAATCATTTTCCATCTGTAAACGGAGGTAATTTATTTGTTAGAGTGCGTTTCTTAGTGTTGCCGAGGACAAACTAAGATAATGGACACAAAAAATCAATACATTCCTTTGAAGTACTCTTGCATCTCTGTTTCTCTGTCAAACTTCAGCTGCTAGAGGAGGTGACTCAAGGGGACATGAGCGCTGCAGACACACTTCTGTCTGATCCGCCGCGAGACGACATCTATGTGTCAGATGCTGAGGATGACGACGATGCATCTCTGGACAGTGACCTGGATTCAGAGGACCTCGCAGGAGTTGGAAGACCTCAGAGCCTAAAGAGCCAAAAGCGGTAATGGGAGAGTACTGTGTGCAGGGGGGGATGCTGACACCCTCAGCTTGAGTCCTGAAGCAGAGTTGGCGGGGGAGCAAGTCTTCCAGGACACTGACCCTCCCCACTTAACTGGGGTCCGCAGTGTACAATTTGCTGAAGTAGAGGACGATAAAACAGAGGAGGAAGAGAATCCACTGCTGGTACCATTGGAGGAAAAGGCAGTACTGCAGGAAGAACAAGCCAGCCTGTGGTTCTCAAAGGTAACAGACTGGGGCCCCAGGCAGACAGGGAAGTGGCACTCCCTGGGAGAAAGGTGGCTGAAGGTTCCCCCTTTTGCAGGATGGCTTCAGCGGGATTGAGGATGATGCAGACGAGGCCCTGGAGATCAGCCAGGCCCAGCTGCTGTACGAGAGCCGTCGGAAGGGGCAGCCGCCGCTGCCACCAACGCCGCAGCCTTCCAGTTTGAAGGTTAAACCTCGCTTGTGCCAGGATGAGGCCCCTAAGGGGGCAGAGGCTCCATCAGGGACAGGGGCTACCACTGGCCTTGGAGGGGAAGAGAGAGATGACAGTTCCGACAGTGACAGCAGCAGCAGTGAGGATGAAAAAAGGTAAGTGGCTGCAGCTGATGGGAGCAGGGATGAAGAGGAAGCAGTCAGTGGCTCTTACCATTCTTTAAATTGGGGGTTTTCAACTTTGACTAGATAGGAAGCTTTAAAAATACTGATGATTTTGATTAAGGGCACGTGCAATATAGCCTCCGTGGCAGATTTTTGGAACTTCCCTAAGAGTTTAATAGGAATCAGGGTTGGGGAACAGGAGGAGGGGCCTGAGCAGCACAGGGGTTGGATGAATGACACTCACATAGCCCTTCCCTTCCACAGCTGGGAAACACAGCGCAGTAAGAAGCGAAGCCGGGGACCTACGTCAGATGACGACAGTGGGTTTGAGATAGTGCCTATCGAGGATCCAGGTGAGAGCGGGGCACCTAGTGGAACGAGAGGAGACAACAGAAGTCTCTGTGTTGACAACTGAGCTTTGATTTTTCTCCACATTAGTGAAACACCGAATACTGGACCCTGAAGGTCTTGCTCTAGGTGCTATTATTGCCTCTTCCAAAAAGGCAAAGAGAGACCTCATAGACGACTCCTTCAGCAGGTGGGTACCAGGAAATCATGAGCAGTGGCCCAGGGTGGGAGGAGAAGTGGCTGATTTCTGTAGAGAGCCTGGAGTGGCTGAGTACATGGCCAGAGAGACTGACACACTCTCTGGCTAGGTACACATTTAATGAGGACGAGGGGGAGCTTCCCGAGTGGTTTGTGCAGGAGGAAAAGCAGCACAGGGTAAGGCAGTTGCCTGTCGACAAGAAGGAAGTGGAGCATTATCGCAAACGCTGGCGAGAAATCAACGCACGTCCCATCAAGAAAGTGGCTGAGGCAAAAGCCAGAAAGAAACGGAGGGTAAACAGTGGGGCTGTCTGTGTAGGGGTGGGTGGGAGCGGGGTGGGGAAGAGGTCAGCCTGACGGAGGTTACCGAACAGATGCTGAAGAAGCTGGAGCAGACCAAGAAGAAGGCAGAAGCTGTGGTGAACACTGTGGACATCTCGGAACGAGAGAAAGTGGCACAGCTTCGGAGGTGAGGGAGGACACCTGCCAAGGTAGACGGGCTAGAAAGGGTGGCAGAAAGGCTCTAATCTCTCTCTTCCATTTACAGTCTCTACAAGAAGGCTGGGCTTGGTAAAGAAAAACGCCAAGTCACCTATGTTGTAGCCAAAAGAGGTGTGGGTCGCAAAGTGCGGCGGCCAGCTGGGGTCAGAGGTCATTTTAAGGTGGTGGACTCAAGGATGAAGAAGGACCAAAGAGCACAGCAGCGGAAGGAGCAGAAGAAAAAACATAAGCGTAAGTGAGCAGCAACACTCAGGCCTGTTGGGAAGACAGCCTTGGAGGAGCGACTCCATTCAGCGCTTGCTCCGGCAGCCCCCTTGCTTGCAGACAGAAAGGACAGTGAGGGGAGCCACCCGGGACTCTCTCAGTGGCCCTGAGTGTGGTGAGGACACCCTCTTCCTGTCAACACACTGCTGGATGTCTGTGCTGTAGCAGACACCAGTCATTCTGGGAAGGATGTGACGCAGCACTGGATGAGAAAATGCCTTTTCAAACTCATAACGGGCCAGTTCAGTTCTGGGGTAGCATTCATTATGGTCTGGTTTTGGGCAGGTGGGGCTCTCAAGTTTCCCCCCCCCCATTCTTTTCCATTATTAGCTGAATAAAACTGGGATGATACCTTTTTCTGATGATTTAGTTCCCACAAAGTGGTACTCAAGAAATACTTGAGTCACAGCAGGGTCACACTGTTCTAAGGCATACATTTAATGCGTATGGATGCACAATGAAGTAGAAATGACACAATCCACAGGTCCCAGTAGTAAACATTTACTAGAGCAAGCAGAAAGGAATGCACATTTTAAAGAAACCTTCACAAAGTCACAAAATTCAAAGTATGTATATTTCTTGTCCTTTTATAAACGAGAACAAAAATCAATCATTTCAGCAAAAGATTTTTCTACCGTTGTGGCAAGTTAAAAAAAATACAATGAAATTGGAGAAGACACTTAAAAAGCTGTCATTGGGTTTTTGTTTTTAACATCAGTGACACTTCGGACCTAAGGCAATCCTGAACGGTTTCCAGGATCACCTTTTTTCCCTTTCAAGCACAGTCTGGGTCTGGCGGGTCACCCCCTCCTGCCTGTCTTCGGGCTGGATACACACCTGATGGGGAATCTGAGCCTTGGCGCCCATTTCAACACAGCAACTCCCCAGCAAATGTCTGGAAGCACCGAAGTGCTTCCCACATCCCTGACACCTTTATGGATTGGGTTTGCAGAAGCCAACTGGTAAAAAAAGGACTGCCTGGCCACACAGCTAAGAAAAAGAATTTCATCTGTAGATGTTTACAAGGTGACATTTTAGTAAAAAATATATGCTACATATAGTATAAACCTAGAGTGAGTTTTGTGCCCCTTATTAAGGCCCTTTCTTCCAAGGTGTCCTCGGACCTTGACCCTCGTAACAACTCACCCAGAGCCCAAACTCCCAGTTTTCATTGCTTTCAAGGACCAAGCAGTTTCCCAAGCAAACATCTGAAAAGTGATCCAGATGAAGGAGTAATGTCTGCAAGCTCCAGCTATCCACTAAGGGCAGGGGGTCCACACATCTTAGGCCCCAACCCAGCCCTGAGACACCTAGTTACCAAAAATCTTTCTAAAAATAAAATTAAAGACAATCGGTTTCACGCGTCACATACCCTCTAACTGTCCCATCGGCTTTTCTTACGTTTGGGTGGCTCAGGGACAGCAAAACCATCAGCTGTCTTATCTGTCTTGATGTCCACCTTGTCCACCTTGTCCATCTTGCTGCTGTCCACCTTGGGGTCCATCTTGCTCTCACGATTACAACCTTCTTTCCTGCTCTCACCATTTCGACCATCAGTTGCACCTCGGCTTTCCCCATGCCGGCCTCCACCTCCTCCTCCGTGCCTGTTCTCTCCATGCCGATGGCCGTCAGCGTGACGGCTGCTGCTTTCTGGGTAGCGGTATCCTTCTCCATGGCGACCGCCATCTGCATGCCGTGGGCTATCACCATGCCGACTGCCACTCTCTCCATGACCATGACGGCTGCCACCCCGGTTCTCAGTATATCTCTCTCGCTTCCCATTGCCACCCCCAATCCCTTCTCGGCTGTTATTCCCTGAAGCTGCGTTGTTGACTCCCTGGGCTCCAGGAGAAGGGTAGGTTACTGGGGCACTGCTGAGGGTCCCAGGGTTGCCAAAGCTGGGAACGCCCTTGGCTGCGCTAGCAACGGGGCTGTCAGGACTGTTATGGCCCTGCTGGGCAGAATTAGTTGGAACAGAATTCAAGCTCCCTGCACTAGTCCATCCACTTGCCCCAGCAGCAGAGCTTCCAGCCTTCTGATTGCTTAAGCTGGCAGCAACAAAGTGACTCTTGTATTGTGACTAAAAGAGAAGGAGACAACAGGAATAGGTAAGGTAGTAAGTTGAAGAAACTTGAATATATCTTGGCACTTTGATGGGACCATTCCCATGGTCCCACATTCCTGTGGTTTGTGTGTTTCTCTACTAATGAAAAACAATCCTGGGACCAATACATTAAACTGGAGACACAAAATAAGTACATTAACACCCAGCTAATTAAAGGGATGCCATGAGCCACCTGCAGGGGCAGGTGTAAAAGACAGATTTAGGGTTCACAAGAGAATCAAACCCTTCTTAGTCATAAAAACAGGCAACTGCTAGGGCTTCCCCAGTGGCGCAGCGGTTGAGCGCTGGGTTGCGAAGCTGCCCGCAGCCTCTGCAGCGCCGGTTCGACCCCCGGCTGCTCCCCGGCCACCAGAGGAGGGTCCCACATGGCGCTCAGACCTCTCCTGCCGCCCGCTGCTCCCCTCAGCAGTGTACTTCGGTCCTTCTGCCTGCTCTGCTCCCTGCTCTGGCTCTGGTGAATTCTCTCACCCTCCTACGCTTCTGACTGTACCCAGTGCTTGTATAAATAAAATAAATAAAATAAATGAATCTTTAAAAAAAAAAAACAAAAACAGGCAACTGCTCTCCACCAGATTACGAAAGCTGTGGAGGTGGGAACATTCCAGGATATTGATCTCAGGAGGAAACACCAACCCCACGGCTGTCCAACAGACCCAGGTTCTGCCTGAAGATGACTGCCATACCCACAGCGCTGGGGATAGCCATCTGTTAAGTTTATATTCAAAATCCAAGCAGTGGGAAGGCCCTAAATCCAGCAGTAAATCTGTAAGCCCAGCCACCATCTCAGGAAAGCTAAGGTCCTCTTGTTGCTACCCAAGAATCACTGGGGAAAGTTCTTTCAGTTAAATGCTTATTTCTGACCTGGAAAGCTGCTTTCATTGCTGTCAGTCGATCTCCCATTGCTCCTGTGGAGGGTTTGTAGGCCTCGTAATTGCTCATTACATTGTTGTTATTTCCTCGGTCCTAAAAAATAAACACACCCATGAGGAAGGAAGAATAGAGAGGAAAGCCCTCTGCCACAGACCAGGCTCTACACACTGAAGATTCTGAAATGAGCTGGATTGGGACTGTCTATTTTTAGAAACCTACTATGTTTTGTAAAAAATGGACACAGTAATGGAGAATTTTAAATGCTATCCCAGTAATTGTTTCTGGAAACAGACTGAGCAATCAGAAATGTGCTAGATCATACCCAAAGCTTTTCACACACATACCTATTCAATTACATAGAAATTACGTTAAAAATGAAAGGGCTGGACACTCCCTGGTGGCGCAAGGGGTTGAGATGCAACCTATGAAGCTAGCCGCAGCCACCACAGCATGAGTTTGATCCCCGGCCAGGGAGCTAACCACATGGCGCAGCAGGCCTCTCCTGACTCGCCCGCAGTGTGTTTTGGTCAGTCTGCCTGTTCCATTCCCCACTCTGTCTTTGGTGGATCCTCTCACCGCCCGCACTTCTGGCCTGTACCCCAGTTCTTGTATGCATAAATAGATAAATCTTAAAAAAAAAAAAAAAAAAAAATGAAAGGGCTAAGAGGCAGATGCACATGCATGACTGCTCAGGCTCTGAATATCAGAGTCTGATATTCAGAGGGTACCTGGGTACCCAGATTCATTATCTGTATTACTCTCATTGCGTGGCTGTAAAAATCAAGCCATTACACCTGACTGTGTGGAATGATCCTGGGATATATCAAATACCCGGTATTAGCCATCGCTGTCATCTGCCATCATCCACAGCATCATCACCATTATTATAATGTGAGATCAAATCTTTTTATTTACCAAAGACATCAAGATAATTATATTGCTCTAGAAATGTAGACTGGTAGCTTAGGAAACTGACAGTTGAAGAAGCCAGTGAGGGGAAGTTTGTGAGAAAAGCTAGCTCTCATCTCTGATGCAATTTCCCAGAGAATGCAGGAATCATCCCTGAGCATCGCAGTAAGAAACAGCTAGAATTTACAGGCAATGTCTACTTAGCAGCAGATTCAAGGTTAGTGTTAGAAGGTTTGTGAAGAGACTGGGGGGCCCCACCTCCAAGTTCCTGATTCACCAGGTCTGGGGAGGGGTAGAACAAAGCAGGCATAAGTTTGCATTTGCTCCTGACTGAGGGAACACATTTTGAGAACCACAGGTAACCTAGACTGTTTTCCTTAACATGCCTGTCTAGTCAGCCAAGTACACACAAGTGTTTCTTGAAGATAGTCATAACATTGAGGAACTAGCATCATATTGACTCAAATCACACTGAACAAGATCCCTTCTAGATAGGGTTTAAAGAGGCTTTCTTAGGTAAATGGCAATAGTCCTAGCACTTCATCCAGGACTCAGGACCAGCCAGCCCTGAGACTACTACTGGACTCACCGTGTTCTCAGAGCCTAGGCCAGGACGCTCCCTGTAGCCCAGGCCTCCTCCACCGATGTTCAGCTTTTTGCCTTTCCCTCCTTTAAAGCGGGATTTCCGAAACCAGGCATTCTGCAATGAACATAATTAAAATATTAAGCCAGGGAAAGAAGGGGTGGTCAGAAGAAGAGAACAAGATTAAAGGGAAAGCTAAAAAAAAAACACACAAAAACCCTGATTAAAGTGGGAAACGAATTTTTTGCTTCATCTTTAGCCAATATATCTGTGGCAAGAAGGTATTAGTCACAGGAACCACAGTTCAACTTCAGATTCTTTATCTACTAGTCTTTCCTTCAGGGCCTCCAGGAAGGGAAGTGATTAGATGCGCTGCAAAGGCAGAACAGTTACAACTGGCTACTTCTAACTTCCTTGAGAAAAATGAACTTATTTTCAATTTCACGATCTGTAGTATCATTGGACGTAAAAATTAGAAGCTTTTAAAGAACTGCTGGATTCAAAGGTAAAGGAAAAAAGCTCTGTGAAGTAGGTATATCAGAATTGATTCTAAGGGCAGACCCCCAGGACTGATAGTCACACAACTGAACATTTTACATACCCATAGAACCTAAACGTTTCCACTGCCAGAATACTACTAATCAGATTTATTCACATTCTCTTTAGAATGCAACCAACTCTAGGGTGATTAAAGCTTTATCTGTCAATTACATTATAGTCACAGTAAAGTACTGGAGAGGCAGGGCAACTTGGGAAAGGTACTGATTAGGAAGCTGATCACAACTGGGGAGCACAGGGAGTCTAAGGCACAGAATGAGATTTAAGAAAATGCCAGTGATGTAACGTATCTTCTTCAAATATTCAGGATGGCTCTCTGCCCTGGAAGGGAAGGGGAAGATTTTCCTTTCTCCTGCACTGCAGGTTCTTTACCTAGCACGTGAAGTATGGGCAGCACAAGTGCATTTAGGGCTGCACAAACAATTCTATGGACTGGCCTATGAATCTGAAGGCCACATTAAGTCTCTACTTTCAGGATGTGTATATCCTGAAAACCCCTATAATCTGGGGACTGCAGGTATTAAGATGACTCAAGCTTTAATTCAGTAGAATGCCTACTTAGTGCTGAACTGGAGTACCCACTGGAGGGCATCACATTGCTCAGAAGTCTGAGCTCTTAAGTCTATGAGAAATAGCTAAGTTCATTGTTTTTAACACAGATGCTGCTGAAGGAGAGAATAAGACAAACCAGGTTAATTTTAATGTCATACAATACCAATCGATATGTACCTTATAAGTACTTCTCTACTTCCCACTTTTCTAGTCAATTTTTCATGTTATCTGTCTTAGGTGTGTTCAATTTTTTTCCACTTAGTTTTACAACCTGGAAAAGTATGAAGGGTGGCCAACTCCTCACCTGCATTGCCAGATCGAGGAGTTCCTTGGAAACATGCTGATTGGCTCCTTCCAAGTTCCGGACAAGGTCACCAGCAAAATTGCTGTCCTTGGGAGTCAGCAAGGTATAGGCCACACCCTTCTCGCCTGCTCGTCCCGTGCGGCCAATCCTATGAGTATGGGTATCAATGTCTCGTGCCACATCATAGTTAATGACAGTTTTAATGGAAGGAATGTCCAGGCCACGAGCTAAAACAAAAAAAACAAATTTTTTTTATCTCTTCATCAGAAGTCAAAAGATGAAGTAACCCAAAATGCTAACCATCCAGGAACACACATTTCTGTTATCCAGGCAATATGAGCTGAAGTTTAATGAACTGAGATACAGGTAAGTCACCATTATAGAACAACTACCACTATTGTCAATTCTATGATTCTGTGCTGCC